ATCTCCCGGCTTGGATTCAATCAAATTAAAATGATACCCATCAAAATATTTCACACTACACTTATAGATGGTGCTGGATTGTTTATATCGCCTGAAGATATCGAATGTTCCAAAAATTTAAACGGAACTGAGCCATTTTCGGATTGATATTCCTTTCCAAAATTCAACTTTTACAAAATTGTGGTTTGCAAAGGATTTATCGATCCCCAAAATGACGTTCAATGTTAATTAAACCGAAATTTTTCATTTTCCACTCGAATCAATGGGGTTTTAGCGTTTTAAATTTACGCTGGTTATTTTATGTGTTTAGTATAAAACGTGGACATTATTATTGAATAATGGCGAAAGTTCGGACACGATGAACTTAGACCTATAAACATTCCTCTGTGGTTTATCCATTATATGTACTAAGTATCTGGCTATCGTCTATTCATAATATCACGATCACCTTTTTAACGGCTCGTTGTTTTCCTATTTACAAAGTTTACCCCAGCTTAAAGTCGTAGTATTCATCGAAAAAGTCAAAGGTGAAAGGACCAGACCGAAGATGTGTTAAAATAGCTAACGCTTGAGTGCGGAGATGACCACAATGAGATTGAAAATTGAAAGTTTACGCGAAAAAAAAGTAAACTGGCGGAGAAAAGCCGCTTTTGGATTGTCGTTATTATTATCTTATATTCAGCATGTTTACTAACCGTTTCGTATTCAGGCATTTGTATTTAAAGGCGATAAGCTTATTGTCCATGATCCATTAAAGAATTTCTGATTCAGTCAACATCAAATAACTTCGTTTCATTTCATTTTTATTTCATTTTTTTCCATGAACCTTTTGTTATTTTTATTTTCTGGACGTCAATGAAAAAAAGAAGTAAAAAGGACATCTCCTTTTAACGGTGGTTTACGACTCCATGATTTTCGTGTTTAGCCGTCGTTATATTCATTAACCTCCGACAAGAAACATCATTTTCCAGATAAATCACTTGTATTTGACCAACACCAATTAATAATCATTAAATTGCCCATAAATCCGCATTAAGGAATCTTTATATGGACTTACAGGCACTATTTATAAGGACTTATTTGTATGCTATAAATTAAGCATGATTCGGTCAGTTTTATCTTTATAACCTAAATTAGTATGTACACTGATAACAGTAAGCTTTAATGGGTTGAATTAAAATGGATTTAAGAAGTAAGGATCACACGAAGCCTATTTTAACGTGCCTTGGAGCACGTCCGTGCTCTGATGTATGATGAGTGAAAACCGTTCTCTGAGAAATAAAAAGACGTGCTCTCAAACAGGTTCAATTTTGGAAAAGGGCACTCCAGGTATCACTGAAGAGACGCCCATCATCTATGGGTCTTTTTTGAAAATTTGGATCTGAGTTTTGATCCGTTGTGTTGTCGCTATACGACGCGTGGGGCGTGTGACTATAGACCTGAACGGAATTTATTGATTCTGGATATACGCTATAGAGATTCTACTCTTGAGGACGTATTAAATTAAAAAAATAAATCTAATTTCCACTTAATTTACCTCAGTTGCATCAGTCATCGGTATGAATTAATATATAGGTATGGACCATAGACTCCTCCGCACAGTCTAGTTTGTCAGTTACTTCGTGGGTTTTGGCAGTGACTTGGTCGAGTTTATATATACGCCAAATTGACGCTAGAGACCATGTACACCCCGCCCCCCACCCTTCTAAAAATAACGTAGCCAGAGAGACGTGCTCCGAAAAAGTTTCCTTAAAATAGTACCCAAGCACAAAGGGAAAAAATATAGACATATAAGAATATAGACAGTGGTAGGCTCACCACCAGCAAGGTCGTCTGTGCGGTCAATGTCAACAAATCCCGTTGAGCATGTTTTGTTTTTCAAATTCCATTGAGAGCTGTTCTGCATCACGTTCACAAGCTTTACAAGTGAAATTATTATCTTAAAGATAACTCGTTCGAAATTTACGAGCGAATTCAATAGTGTTTTTCCATATGGGCTACCCGAATTAAAAATCTCACAGAGGTTGTTTTTATTTAATAATCCATCCAGAATAATTATGTCCCGTATCACGTTCACATCGCTTTCTTAAACGGGGAGAACACTTCGCGATTTGTAAATAAAACAAGCGGTTGCGATCCAAGATACGCTCATATTTTGCAAGAGATGGGAACAGAACAGGCTAATATCGAACGGAACCGCGATCTTTGGAATATAAACATATATTTTAAGTTTCATCAAAATCAGATAAAAAATGTGATCTATGAGAGACCACAACCTTGGTATTACATACTTTTAAACTATTTGCGTAAATGGAGCGGCCATTTTGTCGGACAGGTTTGGTCTGATTTTCACGAAATTCGAATTCAAACGTCATTAGAATGTAACGGTGATATATTTAAACGGTTTTTAAAATTGGATAAAAATTGTGACCTATAGAGGGACCACAAGCTAAACACGCGATTTTTCGTACAGTCAAAGGCAAAATCCAGGAAGTTACGGTCCGATGTGCGCGAATATCAAAACGGATCGAGATATTTTGGTTGTTAACATATATTTCAAGTTTCATCAAAATCGGATAAAAATGTGTTTTTCTTACAATCAGGGGCCATAATCCATTCAGTTACGGTCCAAAACATGCCAATATCGAAAGAAATCGAGATCTTTTGGGGATAAACCTATATTTCAAGCTTAGTCAAAATCGGATAAAAATTGTGACCTGTAGAATGTCCACAAACAAGCGCGATAATCCTGATAAGAATCTCGGAAAACGTTAAAAAAAAATAATAATGTGTAGTTGTGGGGTGGGGTGTATCCCTTTTCATAATGGAGAAGTTTAGTTTTATGCTTATACAACTACCTTTGAAAACCAAGCGCCTTTTGTATCGAATGGATATTTATTGTACATTTTCTTGTTTTGAAACAGTTATAGTGAAAGCGCGTCTATTTTCTACAAAACCATTTTATTTTACATTTCTTTTTTTTTCTTATCTTTTTAATGGATTGGAAAACTAAAATGTCAAAATTTTCTTAGGACGGTTTTGTAAGTAACAAATCATAAAAAAAACAACAACACAATAAGCAATGAAAGAGAAATTTCACTAATATTTGAAATCATCTTGCGTGTTTTCGTCAATGACTTGATTAAAGGGGGGTAACTCTTATTTTGAAAAAGGAATCAGAGCCCCATTAATTTCCCTTGCAGTCTAAGAGAGAAAGAGAGAGCGAAAATGAAAATGGTGTACTGCCTCCAAATATTTTATTGAAAGTTACCGTCTGTATAAAATTAATCTATTAGCTTTCATTTTATTTGTGTATGAGTCAGTGTGTCACATAGATAAGTGGGGTGGGTTATGGGGTCAAATGCGCTGAAAGTTGCATAGACGGCTTCGCTCTCATGGCTCCGAAGGGTGCTTCTGCTGATAGCTTGAGATGGAATTAAGCAGTTTGTAGAGTAAGGTAGGCTCAAAACTGATAGCAATTGTAATAAAAAAGGATTCACAACGTGAAAAGTGGGTCCCCGGACATCCATTTCAGGGGGTGGGAGGCATCCAAGAATGAAATAGGACTAAAGCTTGGTCAAATTTGGAGTCCTGTTTAAAGGAGAATGATATTAATACGCAGTTAGTTATTGGTTGTTAATCGAACTATTGACCAGTAATAATTTGGAACATAAATTTGCTTCCACTACAGCAGTGTTAAAGGAAAATATTGGTGCCAGTCATTATCACATATGTGAAAGAACTGGTTAAACACGTTCCAAATATTATTTTATCACAGAGATCATTGCTACGATAGATGAATAATCAATGTTTCAACAATAGGAAGTGACGAACGCAAAAGGAAAACACGAGTTATCCCTTTATATAACTGGCTGAAGTGACGGGTGATAACAGATACATGGGCGAATTTCTGCTCACTAAAAATTCCCTCAAAGACCAAAAGTTGTTATATGAGACTGTAAGAGTATATCTGACAATTCAAAAAAGTAATTGCATGTCATTAGATAAGGGAACACGAGAAAAATAGAAACACTCCGTACATTCACGGGTGTTTATTCATTCTATACTTATAAAAACATGGTAATGCACGGACTTTTTCTATTTTTCTTTCATGTTTTCTTATCTAGTGAGAGTCAATTTTGTTTATGAATTGTCAGATATCCTTTCACAGTCCCATACAACAACTTTTGGTCTTCGAAGGAATTATTAGTGAGCAGAAATTTGCCCATGTATCTGTTATCACGCGTCACTTCATTCAGTTATATGACGGAATAACTCGTGTTTTCCTTTTGCGTTCGTCACTTCCTATTGTTGAAACATTGATTATTCATCTATCGTAGCAATTATCTCTGAGATAAAATAATATTTGGAACGTGTTTAACCAGTTAATCTCTATCACATATGTGATAATGACTGGCACCATTGTCCTTTAAATTGGGATTAATATATTAGGTCTAATCAGACGAAATTACTGCCAAGAGTATAGGGTCACAGAAGCTATTAATGTTTTCGATGGAATAAAATATGGATTGAATGTATGTATTAATATACATCAACAAATTAATTTTAAAAAATATTACTTAGGTGTATATAGATTTATTCAGCGGGAAATATTTAAACTAAATAATCCTAAGAACGTTGATCTAGTGTTCATCACTATAATATGAATAATTTATATCAATGGGAATCACTAAGGCGCAATTAATATATGTAAGTGCACCCTTCCTTATACCACAAGGACTAAAGTTTTAAAAATCGTGTCACCTGTGAATAATTTATCTATTTTTAGAAAATATGAAGTTTTGACAATATGAAGCCTTCCTTCTCTGCGTAGAATAAACCAACAAAAAATACCAACACTGAATGTTTTGATTATTATGTAAATATTCATATTCGTGATTTATTTTAGAAATCTGTCACACTCAAGTCAATGACGTATTCGTTTCGATTATTCCATATAAATCTCAAATTTTGGTTGATCATGTGACAAGATGGCGGCGTTTTGTGATGTTTACATTTGTGGGGACCAGTTTTGGTTATAAATTTGTAATAATAAAACAAGTTGTGATCGACTGAAGTTAAAGTATGGAAGGAATAAGGCAGCGACTTTCAAGTACATCAAATCCGAGCACGTCAGACGATGTTACCTCTCTAGATTCATGGACAGATGCATTGATCAACTCAGATACGTATGACCTGAGAGAAAATACTGATTACGGACAAAGTTCTCGAGGCGCCGGTAGTTGCAGCAGTCGATTAACGGAATGTATTCCACAATATTCCCCGAGGAAAGACACAAGCACTCATGTTAAGAATAGTAATAGACATAAAGAAATAAATACAATCGCAGGACGACTTGAATCAGAATGTAAAATTTTAAATGACTCTGTCACTGTGACTGCCTCCACCTCATCGACATCAGGAAAAAATCAGGTTCTAAATCGACCAAATTCTTATTTTAAAAGTGGTTCAACATCAGACAGATATAAATCAAAACCACAATATGATAAACATAGTCATGTGAATAGCCATCGGCCTGTGTCAGGTCAAATGTCACATAGTATGGGTAGTTTGGACAGTTATTCGCCCAGACGTGATCATGTCACTAATGGTCACAATAATCACAGCCCACATCATGGAGCACGTAATTCACAGATGTCAAGATCTGTCAATGGAGAATTTGGATCAGATGGGAATGATTTATTAATGAGGAGATTTGGAACTGAAAGTGAAAAAGTGAAAACAAAATTACAGTCAGCTTGGAACAATATGAAATATGGTACATAGACTCCATTGTACTTTTATGTGTAAACAAATAAAGATCAATTGACTTTTACGATCACAGTTCACATCATGTAGGGCTATCAGTATTGTCTCCCGTCATTTTTTTTACCTGTGTAGTTTTCATTATCTATATCGACATGTACAGTAATCCTAACCCAATTACATGGTTTGAAATTAAGCAAAGGTGTTCATTTCCCAGGAGGGCTACTACATGTACAATAGTTTTCTGCCCTTAGTACACTCTAAATGCATTGAACCAAAAATGCAAACCACATCGTTTATTTGTCTGAATTCACTGAGTTAGCAACTTTTATCTGTGTTGGCAGTGGGACGAATTTCTATCTTGTTGATATCGCCACAAATTTCTCTGGCGTAGATCCAATTCTAGGAACAGAGATACCGTATATATTTTAGATGTCCGTCCTTTTCAGTTATTCACCACTAATTCATCATTACCTATGGAGATAATTTTTTTCTTTCCCTGGTAAAACTGTAAGCTTACATTTATTTATTTTGTATATTTGTAGGCTGGACTTTAAAAACAAAAACCAGTTTTAAAAATGACAGTGCAATAATTTTATTAGGTAAATGGTATCATGTCAGACCTCCAGGTAAGAATGAAGCAGATTTGATTGTTTATTTAGATATAAGTTATGTAATGTCTGTGCATGTCTTAAACATACATTACACAAGAGCTAAATCTGCTTATTGCAGGTCTTTCTTTAGGCTTTAATTGTTATCAAAATTATTAATTAGACATTAATTAACTTATCAAGACCATGATCAACTCTTGATGCCATCATTAGCCTACAATATTTAGTGGATTTAGATACGTTTTGTGATTGATGATGTAGCATAAAAATGGATAATCGAGACTTTGTTTATTTCGTAACAATGGTATTAATGATGATTGAGACAAGTCTAAAATTGAATTGCTAATATCTTGTTTTAGAGTGAAGGAATTTGACTGAAATTTTCAGCATATTCTGTTTTCATTATTTATTTTTTAACTATTATAGCGAAAACTGTCAGCTCTTTATCTAATCTTACCTGATGCCCCTTAAATTGTTTATTTAATTATTGAGTAATAATTAATAATTATACATATCATGTACATACGAGGAAGCGTAAATGTTAGTAGGGCAATTCAGGTGAACCCACAAACACAGACATGACAACAGGCACATACAGTTCCTTGATTCAGTTTGGCAGTTACAATGCTCATACAGAAAAAATTATAAATAATAAATTAAAAGTCTTATAGAATGAGTGCTGTAATAATGAAATATTCATGTATAAATTTTTGGGGAATAGATTTTTAAGGCTTGTTTGACTTGAGCCAAATAAGGTACCAGTTGTTTAATACTTTTAATTGTTTCTCTGGTCTTTATCAGAGAGAGAGAGAAATGGAGTTATACGTCCACTCGACACAAACTAGGTCATTTTGGGACTAATATGTGGTTTTAATTTTATTTCAATAATTTGCTTGCGCCTAGGGGTCTTTAGCAGTGGGAGGAAACCGGAGGACCCGGAGAAAACCCACGAGGTTGGAGAGGCGACCCTACTCCTTGTCACGTACAACTGGGGATTCCAAACCACACCAGTTGACTCAATGACAGGCCTTATGATACAGCACGCACGTGCTAACCATTCGGCCATCCAACCCCCCTGGTCTTTATCAAGTAAATGATATAAAATATGGTGACGTAAAACATGGACCATGGTGATGATCAAAGTTGATTACAGTGATGCCAAACATTGGACAATGCTAAAGTGATAAGGGGGGGGTGGATGACAGAATGGTTAGCGCGATCACGCTGTATCATAAGGACTGTCATTGAGTCAACTGGCATGGTTTTGATTCCCCGGTTGGACACGACAAGGAGTAGGGTCGCCTGTCCAACCTTGTGGGTTTTCTCTGGATCCTCCGGTTTCCTCTCACTCCTAAAGACCCCTACGCTCAAGCGAATGATTGAAATAAAATTGAACCATATGTTAGGTTTGAAATTACCCAGTTTGTGTCGAGTGGACGTTACACCCCATGTCTCTCTCTTCTGCTTAAGTGATAACGCGAGTTATGGGTGGTAAAATTATCGTGTGCCGGTATTGACAATGATTTGATCAGGTTTTAATAATAACAGCAAGCTGTGACAGTGAAGGAATTTAATATTTTCAGTTAAGATGTTGATACAGGTAACATGTGGGGTACAGGTAACATGTGGGGTACAGGTAATGTGAGGAGTATCAGAGAGAGAATCACTTTTAAGACATACCGTGTGAAAAAATATTTTAGTGATCGTATGGCTTTATTTTCATTTACAAACTCTGTATGATCATGAAAATTTACATTTATCTGTGTATTCCAGAAGAAGAATCCTCAAATCCCCACCATCCTAGAGTACCAAGTTTAGAAGAATTTAAACAAGATTTTTCAACGCGACTGTGGTTTACGTATAGAAGGGAGTTTACACCGTTACCAGGAACTAATTATACCACTGATTGTGGTTGGGGTTGTATGATTCGAAGTTGTCAGTGTTTGATAGCCCAAGCTTTGATTCAACATTTTTTAGGAAGAGGTAGGTCACTATATCTACATGTATTTGATATATGTAATATGAATAAAAAAAGGAGAGATGAAGTAATTTGATTATATGTGATCAAGAGTGGAGCTGACTATATAATAGGATACTCCTCGAAGTGTTTCGTTTGATCAGACCTTATCCCACTTAATACTGCTGTAATAGAAGTAAATTTCTGTTCCAAATTATGACTGGTCAATAGTCCGATTAACAACCAATAGCCAACTGCATAACGATATCATTACGATTTAAATAGAGCTCCAAATTGGACCAAATATGTTTACATAACGTTACATCATGACTCACGATTTTAATACACCCAGTTAACCAGTGCATAGCAGAATATTGCGGAAAAACTAATTGCATGACAAATGAGGCTATTAAAACGGATACAATGTAAACAATACTGTTTGGAAACGAACAATACTTTCTCTGTTTTTAATACCTTAAATCACTGTCAAAAGTTTTAGGGAAGACCCCAGATTAAACGAAGGGCTGTCATGTTGTTGTACTTTGGATAGATTTGATTGAAAGGGAAGAATAAACACACTCCCTCAAAAGCTCAAGTATCAGTAGCCAATCCAGCAATGGCCAGAGATGGATTTCTCTGGCCATTGCTTCAGGAATATGTATAATAGTGTGTTAGGACCTAATTATACACAGCTTTTAATGCAGATGCTTCCTAGTGACTGTGAGTACATGATCATACATGTATCTCAAAAAACGTTCAAAATATATTTTTGGAATGTTATAAAATTTTGTTTTCAGACTCAGTTTACTTTTATTAAATATGACATTAGCTATTGAAAAAAAACTAATTTTGAATTACTCAATCAAAATTTGCTTTGGGTTCAAATTGTCATTTTGTTTTCGTTTTAAAGTAAAAAAACAAAATTGTTATTTCAGATTGGAGAATTTATGATAATCAGCAGAGAGATCAGGAGGTATTTCATCGTGAAATTATTCGTTGGTTTTCTGACATAGCTACAGACAACAGCCCTTTTTCTATTTATAAACTTGTAGAAATTGGTAAAAAGAATGGTAAAGAACCAGGAGACTGGTATGGTCCAGCATCAGTAGCCCACATCTTCAGGTAACAAAATGAACATTTAGATTTAATTTAAGTAAAACTGGATACCAGAAAGGGAGCGGCAACACTCCCTTAGCTGGTAACTAAAGCTTGACTGGCTGATACATCTGCGTAGATACTGGATCAAAAAAAGATACCGGTGGGGCGAGGGTGTAGAATCAAATAAATTAAAGGATCCCTGCTCAACAGTAGCAGAACAGACTTGGTAGATATTACTTAAGATTGTTTAATCAGACAACGTTTCAGGTATAGAAACCCTTTATCAAGTATGATATATAATGATCTCGAAACGTTGTCTGATTAAACAATCTTAACATTTACCAAGTCTGTTGGGCTACTGTTGAGCAGGGATCCTTTAATTTATTTAATTTAAGTGTTCAATAATTGTGCAGATCAGTCTTAGTTAAAATTAGATCATTATTTCATTCCAGTTTTAATTTTATTGCCCAATATTGATTCGGTCTTTAAAGTCCAGCTTCAGGCACTGGGATTGGTTGAAATCTTATTTCCTTATTAAGATAAAGCATTCATTCATTGGCTAGATGAACAGTCTGGTCACGTCAACTGAAGACACATTTCTTAATGACGTTGTTAAACCTTACTGTAGTAGAAATATAATTTATACAAAAAAGAAACAAGAGGATGAAAACTGAACATTTGGAGCCAACGTGTTCGATCCCTGCGTTAGCTGAGAATGTTCATCCGGATTTTCCGGCATGGTTCCCCCTTGTCAGTGATGTAGGACGGAGAGCCTAGCAAGGTACAACGTATAGTCGTTCGGATGGAACAAAAAAAACAAGGTTCCATGTACATGCTGGTGTGCACGTAAAAGAACCCACGACAGCTGGAATTTGGAATAAAAGTAGGGCATATCGCCGCTGTCCAGGCAAAATTTTCCTCATAGCACACTGTATGGCGTATGCCTATTTTCTTTAGCCCAGTTTAGGAGCAAAATAGTAGGACGTTAAACCCTGTTTCATTTTAAGACAAGTTTTGGTCCATGTTTAAAATATCTTAGTTCTAATCATTCTCCTAAATTTGCGTAATTTATACTTTTCAGAGATGCTCTTACTAAAGCATGTAGAACAATACCTCTTTTATCAGAGCTGTGTATTTATGTGGCTCAAGATTGTACCAGTAAGTGTTGAATTATTTTCTTCAGGAACTATTAAATATAATCTATACTAATATTTGTGACTGTCGTTTGTCTGTCTGTTTGTCTGTCTGTCTGTTCGGGGTTGGCGGCTACACTAGGTCTGCCCCAAGTCTGAAATTTGGGATATAGGGGTAGCTCGGACCGGGGAGTAACATAGGCCAGGTGGCGTTAGTCTACCACTTCCGGTTTCGGGGTTATGACCCCCGAGCGAAGTCGGGCATTCTTCTAGTATCTCATAATTTAAACACATTTCAACTGAATTACATTCTCTAAGTCCAAAGGCATTTTTATACACCAACATAGATATGTTGCGATCTATTGTCATGAATCCGCTATTACTTTTAGATATCCTGTCAGTTATTATCCGGTTGACTTGCAATTCAAACATTGTTTATTTTCATGAGATGAGAAAGCTGATTTTCAGTGATTTCCAATAATGACTGTCAGAGATATTGCCTTGAAAATTATCTGCTGATGATACAAAACAGTAAAAACCTGAGAGACATAGATGAATGTAAACTAATTAAGGAGTGTATGCTAGTTCTGTGATTCTGGCTTCAGAACTCGGTGTAAAAAAGATCAGTCTTTTTATAAAAATAAATTTAGGGAACCAAGGGGTAGTTAATATTTAAATATTAAATTATGAGTTTACTCCATGCAGAGTCTGAATATGATTTATTTTGTGTATAATCATTTGTTTTATGTATTTGTAGTATATAAACAAGATATACTAGATTTATGTACGGCTAGACGACGATCTAGTAGTAGACTAGATCAATCAGTAAGAGAATCATCAATAGATGAATGGAATCGATCTGTGATAATACTTGTACCTGTAAGACTGGGTGGTGAAAGTCTCAATGAAATCTACATCCCATGTGTCAAACAAATACTAAGTCAAGAAAACTGTATTGGAATAATTGGGGGAAAACCCAAACATTCTCTGTATTTCCTCGGTTGGCAAGGTTAGTATGTTTCTTATTTTCATTTTTGATTTATTGGGTTCTAATTAATTTTATATGTTCTGAACACCAACTACAAACACAGACACAAATGGAAAAGATCATAAATCTTATAATAAATGTCCATTTGTAAGGCGCTAGAATCCACAAAGCTTGTTAAAAGCGATTCAGGTACTCTCTGTTAGTGCTGGGTATTGCAACTGCAGTCACAATGCAATATGTTTTGCGATTCAGCTGCTACGATACGATTCGTATCACGATTCATAACACGATTCATAACAAGGTCAATATTTACCAAGAAAACAACAGGATAAATAAATAATTGATGTTTTGAAACTTGCCGATGTTGAAGAAATAAACTGTCTTATAACACGATATTGATGTGGCTGAAAACAAGTACCAAAACAATTTAAAAGTGTTTGTGTACCTATGGATAATGTTTGATATAGATAATTAAGAGTGACAGGTTACTTATTGAAGCGACAAAAAAAACCCCATAAAATAGAATCATTATACAGCGTTTCACGAGTCAATATGCAAATGGTGAGAAGGTGAGTTGCGATACATCGATTCAACGATATATCATGCCAGCACTACTCTCTGTGCATGTCCCAGCTTTAGAGGACAGGTAAATCCATTTGTGGAAAAGACAACTGAAACATTTAGATATGACACCATTGCTTTACAGCATGTAAAAGACTGCTTTTCTCTTCCATATACACAAAGTTATGATTTGATTCAACTTGTAGCCCAACTCAAAGAATAGATGTTCATCAAATTTTATCTTAATATTAATCACTGCACTACATGTAAAACTAAAATGACAAGACAAACCTGCGAACAAGGAAACTACATAGATCACATACAAGAAGTGTTCAATGATTGTTAATGCAGGGAGGGGGGGGGGGGGGTCTCTGATAAAACTTAGCAATGTTACCCTCTTTAAAATCTTTTGAATGAAATTTTTTTTCTTTTTTTTTCTTCAGAAGATAAGTTAATATATTTAGATCCTCATTATTGTCAAGATGTCGTGGATACAAGTGAGCAAAATTTTCCCATACAGGTAATTAATCATAAATTAATACAAAACTCAGTGTTTTTCTTTGTTCATTACAAATAGCGCTGGAAACCATAGAGTACATGACGTTGTGTACTGATTATTAAATAGTAAGTCTTAAATATTGGATATTAGAATACCATATTTTCATGGTAAGTTATCAATATTGAATTCTAATTCGGGTTTTTAAGGATACGCCCACATTTTTATGTTGATGTATATTTCTTCGCCCCTGGACGTCCGTCCGTCCACAATTTGATTGTAACAATTTTTATCCAATTTTGACGAAACTTAAAATACAGATGTATCTCCCAAAGATCTCGGTTCCTTTTCGAAATTGGCATATACCTGACCGTAACTTCCTGGATCATGGTCGCCAATTGTACGAAAAATCACGTGTTTAGCTTGTGGTCCCTCAAGAGGTCACAATTTTTATCTGATTTAAAAAAGTGTTTAAATATATCACAGTTACACACTATCTTGATAAAACTTAAAATGTATGTTTATATTCAAAAGATCTATGTTCCTTTCGATATTCATTGCATATCAGACAGTAACTTCCTGGATTATGGCCACTGATTCTACAAAAAATTGCTTATTTTCTTAGCTTGTTCTCTGTCTATCTCTTGCAAAATATGGGTGTATCATGCCTGGCAACCACTAGTTTCGAATATAATGTAAAATATTGAGTTACAGGTTTAGCTCCTTTAACGATATGATTATCTTAATAATTGCCTATATACATGTTGATTCTCTACTTTTTCATTATTTTTTAGTCTTTCCATTGTATGTCACCTCGTAAATTACCATTTAATAAAATGGATCCTAGTTGTACAATAGGCTTCTACTGCCAGAATGAAACAGATTTTGATAACTTTATTGCTCAAGTCCAACAGGTAAATATATATATGGTACTAGAAGATTCAGTTAGTATTAGAGGCATAGGAAAAGCATTCAATATGATTACTTTAAAATTTTGCCCGCTTTGTTTCCCATAAATGTTCAGGAGTTTTTACTCTAAGAATTTGACAATCTTAAACATTGTCTCAATTTAAAAATCAATTTTGAAGTGTTTTTACATAAAACGACTTTTCATTCAATTAATTGGTTTTCTTTGAAATACCTATTTCATGGAATGTAAATTGACCGACGCTCCAAAAACGAGTGATGTAAAGCATATACAGAGTTGATGTACAGGACATACGTTCGTATGTACCCTTGTTGTGTTGGTAGTTACTCATCATATTGGCTGATTGGCTTTTGACAAATCTAAAAATGGTTCAATTCCGTTCCGTATTCACAAAGAATCGAAAATTTTGCAACATTCATCAATCTACCGTTGATAGTTTGTTTTGTTTTCTTAAAGGGGCATTATGGGAAATTATATAAAGAGTTGACAGTTCTCGCTATAATAGTTAAAAATAGATAACATAAATAGAATATGCTGAAAATTTCAGACTAGCCTTAATAATCATTACTAAAGTCAGTACGATAAAAACAAAGTCTCGATTATCCATTTTTATATTTAATTATTTTTCAAAAAATGTATTCCAATCCCCTAAATATCGCAGGCTAGCAATGGCCGCAAGAGTTGGTTATGGTATGGATGAGTTAATTAATGTCTAATTACTAATTTAGTTAATATTTGAGGCCTAAAGAAAGACCTGCAACAGGCAGATTTAGTTCTTGCATAATGTTTGTTTAAACAATTCAAGTATATTTTAACATAGCTTAAAAAATAAGATATTGCCCGAAAAATGCAAATGACAATCATTGGCTTTTATATTGTGTTGCCATTGTCATGTATGCCTGTAATAGTCTAAGAATGAATGCAGGATCAGTTTAAAATTACTAAGAAGGAAGCTGTGCTAAAAAAAAAACTCACATGCTTGACTAAAATAGATTTCTATTTGTTATTATTAAAGTGTGAAGTCCGTTAAATTAATTTTTAATTTTATTTCCAGATGCTTATACCAAAGAAACAGCAAGGTATGTATCCATTGTTTGTGTTTGAGAACGGCAGAGGAAGTGACATCAGTGGAGAAGATTTACCAGAAGAACAGGGATTCCTCCGAGTACGACATTATCACGTTGGTGAAGATGGACGGGTCAGATCTCCAACTATAGAATCAGAAGATTTTGTTATTTTAAACTAATCTATTACTAAATCCATCACTTAACACAAGTTTTTTGAGTTAGCTTAACTTACTGGTGTGCTGATAGCAAGAAAATTGTCTATTTACTTACATTTAAGGTTGGTATCTCTAGTCTTCCAGTATTCAAGGCTTACAGCTCTGTTGATGGTACAAATGAGAAAATCGGGCAATGAGTGTAAGGAATATTTTTTTTAAAGGGATAATAATAAAGATAGGTTATAACTTGATTACTAAATTGAATAATTTATCAAATTTACTTAGGAGATTTGCTGTAGGAAGCTTACACTGAAATCAGTGATTTTTTGAGGAGGTAACATGATGGGGCATGGGAATTTATTTCAGTGTTGACATTTGTGTATCCCTACAAACCAATCAATTATATCTATTAAGCAAAACCTACACATGGTCATGCAGGGCACCAAGGGGAGGAGTTTTTTGTTTGCAGTGCCGTATTTGCCTTGGTGAAAATGGTGTAGCTTAACTAGAGCCCACAAAAAGGACCCCATAATAAATGACTAAAAAACATATATAAACATATACAATTTTAACAAGAATATTAATAATTCATTACTATAGTATTAAAGAACTTTTATCCATTTAAACTTGGGAATACAACAAAATTAACATTGGGCAATTCAAAACATAGCAACCTTCATTGATCGTTATGTAATGAGCAGTTGGTTTTTATTTGGAATTACTTGGGGGAACCATGATCTTTTCAGAGCTTGCTGTAGAAAATGAAGACATACAACTTCAATTCATTTATGTCATACCTGAAACTCTCTTTTAAATTAATTTGACTGAAGATGAGTCACATTAAAGTTATAATATAATTTAGATAACATTTCAGGCCTAAAGAAAGACCTGCAATAGGCAGATTTAGCTCTTGCATAATGTATGTTTAACTATTTTATTATAAGTTGACGGATTTAATTAGTATTTCCAATGAGTTCCCTGATGTGATTAAAAATCTTTTTCAATCAATTAGTTCACTGATGTGATTAAAAATCTTTTTCGGTCAGTTAGTTCCCTGATGTGATTATAAATATTTTTCAATCAGCTAGTTCACTGATGACGTGATTAAAAATCTTTTTCAATCAGTTAGTTCCCAGATGTGATTAAAAATCTATTTCAATCAATCAGTTCTCTGATGTGATTAATATTTCCATTTACTCCTCACATTGTGATATACCATATTTTTATTTTATAATGTTATTTATTATAAATTATAAAGAAGTTCCAATGATTGTGACAAGATACGTAATAATGATTATGTATAAATTATGCTAATTATGTATGTATATAAATATTATTCACTTATTCAGTTTATTATATTGAAGACTACAAATGGCATATTTATTTTATGTTAAGCATGAAGAGTGGGAGAACTGACTGCCCTATTTGTAAAATGTTTTGTTTTCATATTCCCAGTTCTGTTTCTTACACTACGAAAATTTAACTGGTACTTGGTACGGCATGCTTATGATTGACAGGTTTACCCTACAAAAAAATTAACTGTGTCGTGCCTGGCACGCTTAAAATGAGTGATGTAAACAGGGTTTTTATTGATCGACCTCAGATTTACATGACTGCCATTTAGAGGCACAAGAGAACTATATTTGTAGATAAAAACAATATTTGCTACAAGTTACAAATGGAAGATCCTAGTCTGTTTCAAGTCTAAAAATACCACCATGATGAAAAATGCATTACTCGGTGATAGATGAAGAGTGTTGTAGCCCATAGGTAACACTATAGCCCACCTCTTCATGGTGCTGCTATCTAACAAATTACCCGTGAGCTTTTACTGACATAAAACAGCTGTCTGTCAAACTTGAAGTTAGCAAGATAGATACTTTCTTCTTATTTTATATGTATTGGGATCTGTCAGTCTGGTCATAATCAATTGTGAACGCTTGACATGCTGATGGATGTATGTTGAGTTGCATGCCAATCCCTGTTTTACTATGAATTAATTATCACTAAGTTCAAATTCACCTCTAATTATATTATTATCTAGAACTTTATAATAACCTTCATTTTGTATTTTATTGTATATATATATATATATACATGTTTTGTATATTCATGTATAAATGATATTATTTTTGTATATAATTAAAGTTGTTTAATATCATTTTAAGACTTCAACATTACATATGAGATTACAGATTGACTTCTGTTTAAAATAAAAAAAATAATCTAGATACACGATCTCTTTTACAAGGAATCAATTTTCCTCACATTAATTTATATATGTTATTTTAGAGGGATATGATATAAGAATAATAGATATTCAATGTATATAATATGTTTTAATTTTAAATAATGATATCTAAGCCAACTAAACTGGGCACATTACTCTTAGTATATACAGGGCACATTACTCTCAGTATATACAGGGCACATTACTCATTGGGGGTGCCGATTGTCAGTTCGGAACGCCTCGTATTGACACAATTGCAATCAAGTGATACAGAATTCAGTCCTGTCACAGTTCTGCCAGCCCCGACAGCTGAGGTGGTGTGAGTAGAATCGTGACGTATTTTAAGTGACAAATATGTTTCAGCTGCCATGATTGGTTGAGATATTTTTTATGCAGTCGGCACATTTGTACTCAAATTCTCCTTTTCACTCGATTGACACTTTTTTCAGAATTGAGAGAATTAATTCTGGAACATTCAATCGAGTTATCCCTTAGTATATACAGGGCACATTACTCTTAGTATATACAGGACACAATTCTATGGAATACAATTACCGCTTATTACTGAGTGATGTTTCCACTAGGCTTCTTTCCTCTTATCATTTCTTGATAAAGACTAGAGAAGCCTTGTTGAAACGTAGCCCAATAATAAGCCCTAATTGTATTCCATAGAATTTTGACCTGTATATTCCAGTTCAATTACTAAATGCCATTGAAACAATTTACTCTTAGTATGTTACCATATGTTTTAATATTAAAGCCACTGATCGTTATTCGAACTACAATATTATAAAAGTTGAATCTCTAAAAGTAATATCTGTGCAAGCGATATAAACAAACCAGCATAACCTGTAAGTATTGGGTAAAATATTTAGATAGTTCTCTTTTTAATCAAACCCTGGAGAATATGTGACCCACTCCCACAAAACCAGGCACTTATCGCACAACTTCATTTTGTACTACAGGCACAAAAGCATTAACTGTATGCCTTCTTGTTGCTGTGAATGAACCGAACTCAGCTTCAGATGATACACAAATTTTAAAAGAATTGTATTTCTGGAAAGCTTAGGCTGTGGACTATTCAAATACGCTGCAAGCTCTATTTTTATAAAAATGACCAAGAGCCTGGGTTTTGTTGGAGCAGCTCACATACTTACTATTGATGTTATCGGTTTTATTTTCATAAATAAATGTTAAATAATCCATTTGAGTACATTTAAGCATGGACTAAGCCATGATAATTATCTAAAAAATGTATATTTTAATCACCAGCTTTATATAATGTCTGAGCCAGCTGATTCTGTAGTTTAAGTAAGTTACAAATTTTAATTAAGTTTTGATCTTCATTAAAATTATATAGAATAACAAATAATATGTTTTTTAATTATATACGATCAAATACTAACCATATAGAAGTGGCGATGCAGAATTTTTTTGTTTTGGATGTACCATATTAGACTGGGCAAATCCCCTCCCCTATAAACAATTCAAATCTCTGTGGAAAAGAGGTAGTCCCTTTTCATTGGTAAATTAGACATTATTTTTAACATGCTTTTTTTTTATTACCAAACGTAAAGATTACCATTTTAGTTCGAAATGTTGAACCTTAATTATATTAAGTAGTGTGACATGAATATTTTATTCAATAAACTGAATCGGATCAAACAACAGGCAAGAGCCTATATAAGTGATTATATGTGATGCCGTGTGAGGCAGAATTTGGTCAGCACAGTTGCTTTTCTGTCACTTCTTCAAAATCTAAAATGCATAATAAGGCAAATATGAGTGTCTATTTTGTTTGGTTTTGTCCACTAAATTACAATATAGTGAGTTTCAGTATAAGATGGAGGTCTATATAACCATAACAACTAGTCCTATACTGAAGATTCTTGTATAATTCATTGGAAATTAGCTATAAATTGAACAACAGTGTTATAGTTATGCCATAATGGAACTTTCTCGTTAACTCTTGCTGGTGTTTATTACACGCTGATTGTATAGATGGTTATAATTTTACGTTGAAATGTATGATATATAATATTTTATAATGTGATATGTATTATATATAATATATATATACTTGTCTTGTTATCTGTGTGATTGTTACCAATAAAATTGATGAAAAATAGAAATAACTCTTTCATGACCACCAATATAGGCAACTATCTGTGGAGGGTATTGTGCATGATGCAGGTATGCTTACAATATAATATGGTTATGGTGAAATGCCTTCCTTCCTCTAGAATGAGAACCAAGGATATCTCAGTGTTATGCCAATGCATTTCAATTTTTAGTTCTTTCTTAGGGGGCCATAATAAATAAATAGCCACACAAGTCTTGTGAAAAATGTTTGGTGTGAAATTTCAAAACTTACAAAATTTGTACTGAACGCTTTAGAGAAGAACAGCTAAGTATTTTGTTTGTTTAACTTCCGCTCGACACAAACTAGGTCATTTTGGCACTAACATATTGTTTAATTTTTTTTTATTTCAATAATTCGCTTGTACAGTGGGAGGAAACTGGAGGACCCGGAGAAAACCCATGAGGTTGGACAGGCGACCCTACTCCTTGTCACGTACAACTAGGGAATCGAAACCCCACAAGTTGACTTAATGACAGACCGTATGATACAGCGCACGTGTTAACCATTCGGCCATCCAACCCCCCGCCCGGTAGGTATTCAATGATCAAGTCTATATATAGCGCTAATGGTTAACACCAACTGGATCTGTAATGTGAATGTCCTTGTTTTTATTATTTGTAGATCAGTCTCTGTGTGTATTTAGATAACTAGGTCATATCAGCTGTAAAATATATAACAAATACATGAATTGGTGGGAAATGACTTCTAGTTAAAACAAATATAATCATGATGAACCAATAAAGTTAGTTATTATCAGCAATTTGTTTTGACCAAGCAATCAGCTGACTTTAACATCAACAGTCCCTCTCCATCAATAAAGACATGGGTTGTCATAATAGACCTACACCCCCACAAAGTTGTCTGTGGTAGCTCTAAAATAAATGTTAACAAGCCAACAGTGAGATTGATTTCCCCCCTACTTTTCAACAAACATTCACCTAATGAAACATCAAGTTTGCACTTTCTACCTCAATTAGAAGCAGGGTTATTTTTTCTAAAAAGACGGACCCTGCTTTTTCCCACTGAACTATGTGCTGTATTGTTTTCAGGCAGGTGACAACAAAATACCACATTAAAAGTGGGTGTTTCAAAAATAAAGACAAACAAACTCAAACAAAAAATGAAGAATTTTATTATTTTATTCAACTATTTCTTCTTTCGGCATTTAAGATAAGAAACAGGCAAATTTCTACCTTCACCTTTTATGGTTCTTGTCAAGATTCTAAACCATCAATCCAAAGTAAAATATTCAATAAAAATAAAATTAGGTTTAACTTTTCTGCACCAACAGGGCTGATGAAGATGGTCGGGCATACCTCATGCAATGTGCTATGAAAGAAGTTTTGCCTAGACCAGTGATTCTCAAGCAGTGTGCTGCGAGATCTTCCTAAGTGTGCCGCGAAATTTTGAACAGCACACTAAGAAAATGTGAAAAACCATGTGATCCCAAATGAGTATTCACTGGTGTCCACTGGCAAGTTCATAGCTGTGTTTTCTTTTTTTAGTTTAAGTCATTCTATGACAAGTCTCTGTCTACGGCTATGCACGTATTCTGCCTGACTTACTATGGCATGTTTTTGTTTAGCAAAAAATTCAAATATTTTTCATATATATTTAGTCAGGTGTGCCGCTATTTTTTCATATGTTCCAATGTGTGCCGTTGGCAGAAAAAGGTTTAGAACCACTGGCCTTTACTCTTCCGTGATACTCCACCTGGCGTGCATGTTGGACCTCAGTATTTTGATCCATCTTCCACTAATGACAAGGGGGAAACCACAATGGAAAATTTTGACGGACATTCTTGTCAAAATACTTCACGCAAACTATTGTCTCTACCATATGGATTAAAGATGCATTATGTAAGATTTAGATAAAGAGCTGGACGTTATTTCTATAAAAGTTCCAAAATAGATAATTCAAAATGAATATATTAAAAATTTCATTCGAATTACTTTATTTTGAATGATGTTATCACTGTTTAAAGTTTTGATATAGATTTTTTTATTATCGTAGCAACATTACTGGTTAATCAAGACTCAGCCTTGATTCTCTATTTTTCAATTAAATCATTAAATGGCGATCATATCTTAATCCATTTACATCTGCGCCATACGATAGTCTAGAGAGTTGATTATAGCTTGTCATGTGAATTAATGTCTAAATAATAACTTATATAACATTTGTAGCCAAAATAAAAACCTGTAATAGGCAGATTCAGCTCATACATAATGCTTTTTGAAAAAATGCAGAATTGCCTGTCTTCTTTAAAATCAGGTAATCTTTGTTTATCAACATATTCATGTCTTCTTGGAATAGGAGGTAAACATAATACAGAATTTTAAAAATTGCATTTTAAAATCCATTTAGCACGGACAGTAGATATGCGTCTGAAGTAAGAAAATCCAGGGATTAACTTAAGTATAATACAGATTATAGTTATAAAATCATCAGCAACGAAAACTTAAGATTTTTCATGCTTTTTCTCACCAGCCATTTGTGAAAACCCATTACCAAATTAGTTGTCTTGACCAGAATATTCCATTTTTGTCATCTGTTACTGAAGTAAATTTCTGTACACACTACCATGAAAACCAGCGATTCCATTAAACTCACTTGATATACCAGAATAGAATAAAAACAGGAAGAAAACATTTATAAATTTAGGAAATTTTAAATATTCCAGAACTAATAAATTATTCTGGAACTAATATATCATTCTCAATAGTGTCATATACTCCTTTACTAAAGCAACTTATTCATATTATTAAGGAATAGTGGTCTGAAGCCTTCTGGAGTTCTTTGTGTTAATTGAGTTACTTCCCTTGATTAATACAAGGCTTTGATCCTAGATGGAATTCTGGGATGGAGTGAAATGGAAGATGGCTGTTTTTAATTAGCCCTTGTGGCCTATACACCCCAATAGTATGGCTTTAAGAGTAGCTCTTCCACCTTGCATCTAAAAGCCTATGCCACTGAACATTATTTCAAACCCTGTAACAGTCATGTTATTACCTCTCTTGGGTTATTTTTATGTGGTGTGTGAAAATCGTATTTTTGCAACAGAATTTTCATTCTACAGTAATTTTACCTTGCACTGTCTTATTAATAACCATTTACAGCTGTAATATATTAACAGTATTCAATGTATTAACTGCTGAAGCATCCAAAAATGTGGTCAAAAAAGAGGGCAGTTATTGCAACAAAAATTACGTCTTATATTAGGTTTATCTTACATGGAAGATAAATACGCAAATGTTTATGGTGGGCGCTATTTAGACTCAAGAAACTTTAGCAGAAGGGCGCTTACTACCATATTGGAGGAATGTGATTATTATGCTGAATACATTATAGAATGTAACTTATTACAGCCATGCAGTCATTATGTCAAATACAGTATATAATGTGTCTTAATGGAGCTGGATGTTTATTAGACTGAATACGGTATATAATGTGTCTTATTGGAACTGAGCGATTATTACATTGAATACAGTATATAAGTGTCTTTTATTAGACTGAATACGGTATATAAAGTTTCTCAATGGAACTGGGCGTTTATTATATCGAATATAGTATATAAGGTGTCTTATTGGAGCTGGATGTTTATTAGATTGAATACTGTATATAAAGTATCTTATTTGAACTGAGTGATTATTACATCGAATACAGTATGTAAGGAATCTTACTGGAGCTGAGCGGTTATTACATCAAAGACAGAATATAAAGTGTCATATTGGAGCTGGATGTTTATTAGATTGAATACGGTATAAAAAGTATCTGATTGGAAATGAGGGGTTTTTAGATCAAATATGGTGTCTTATTGGAGCTGGATGCTTATTACAGTGAATACGGTATAAAAAGTATCCGATTGGAACTAAGCAATTACAGTATACAAGGTGCCTTATTAGAGCTGGATGTTTATTAGATTGAATATGGTTTATAAAGTACCTTATTGGAAATTAGCAATTATTATAAGAATAAAGTGAATTAGGTGTCTTATTGGCGCCGGGTGTTTATTACATGTAATACAATACATAAAGTATCTTATTGAAACTGGACAGTGTCTTACAAGAGTCTGAATGTTTATTACATAAAATAAGTACTATATAAAGTATGTTATTGGAGTTATTGTCTCAAATAGAGAATATAAATTGTCTTATTCAGTTAGGCTGTTATTACATTGAATACAGTATATAAATTCAAGGACACACAAATATTGACACTGGGTCAGAGTGATGATCCAAGGTGCCATTGTTAGACAGACCATGCTTCAAAAACATGTTATGTTCACAAACATGTTTTGAATAACTATTACTGATAGCAATGACCATACGGGCAGAAAATACAAATCCTTGGGAAATTGCACATGAAAGTAAATTGTAGGCCTACCGCCTACACTACATTATTTTTAATGGAAGAATTTCAAGGGAGATAAGCAAACCATATATTTAGCTGCTACAATCCAAATGAAAACATACATTTAATTAATTTATCTGAAGTCTGGAAAATATGTATCTTTAAATCAAATTACTCTTATTTCAATAACAATTTTAGATCTGGATACCATTCTAATCTCTGATAGGAGTGATTAATATTTCTGTTCTTTAATCTGTGGGTACAAGAAAAAGAAATTTCCAACTTTCAGTGATTGTATATGGTCAGGGCGTACCAAAAAGAACTGCAGAGGGGTTTAATGTCGGATAATTCTGTAAAAGAGAGAAATGTTTTTTTTTTATGTCCACTCGACACAAACTAGGTCATTTTGGGACTAACATATGGTTCAATTTTATTTTAATAATTCGTTTGCGCGTAGGGGTCTTTAGCAATGAGGACCCGGAGAAAACCCATGAGGTTGGACAGGTGACCATACTCCTTGTCACATACAACCGGGGATTCGAAACCACGCCAGTTGACTCAATGACAGGCCTTATGATACAGCATGCATGTGCTAACCATTCGACCATCCAACCCCCCTTATTTTTATAAACAATATGTTATTCTCACAAAGGGCTTAAGGAAAGGCTAGGCCTTATTACCTTTCTCCTACTGTTCTGTATACATCAGACAGTGTGCTATGAGGGAAATTTTGACTGGACAGTGGCTGTTTCACCCACTCTTTGTCAACTTTCAATTGCTAGGGGTTCTTTCACATGGGATTCCAACATGTACACGGGACACCAGTTTTTCATGCCATCTGAATGACTAGACACCTTTCCTTGACAGACCCTGTCCTTTACCACTGACAAGGCAATACCAAGATGAAAAATCCTGAGAAACATTCTTTGCCAAAACCAGGGTCATGTCTGTGACCATTGCCAAAAAGAAGGGAAAGTTTTGAGGGGTTTATGCTCTTGTCAACATAATATTTTGATCATTTTGAGACTAACATGTTAATTTTGAATGTGCAAAGCAGTAAGAGTATTCTGTGAGTACAAGGGAAGCTATGTTTCTGTAACTACTGTAAGACAATCTCTGTTACCCATATATAGCTTTGATATTCAGGTACCAAAATCCTTCTTTTCTTTTACAAATAATATCCATTCAAATATTAACAGCTGATTGCTAGACTGTACCATGTTTTTCTTCTCATTCATTCCAACCATTCAAACTAAATTCTGGAAATGGATCCGAAGATCCAAAAATATAATATTAAAGCGAAATGTTTAGAAGTACTAGACTTTATCCACCATTTTGTCCAAATCAATGCGAGGGTGCTTCGTGTTTCTTGGTAAAATTCTGCAAAGTGATTAATAGGCTCAAATATACAATGAGAGAGAGAAAAGTATAAGTGGGGTTTTAACATCCATTCAACACAATTTAGGTTATATTGGGACCAACATGGTACATCTTTATTGCAATAAGTTGCTTCGCCTTACCAGAGAAAAAACCCACATGGTTAGGAAGGCAACCTTACTCCATGCTACATAGAAGCAAAACCAAACCACTTGACTCAATGTGACACCTTATATATATTATTAAAGGGCATACGTGGAAATGACGTAGGGACCTAGAACAGAATGACCTCTTTCCAGCTTGTGTCATGTTTTAAAGTTAAGGAAGGAGTTCATACTCGATTTATAGAGAGATTTTGCCAATGTCAAGAGAGATTGAAATTTTGAAGGTAATATTTTGCATAAATATTAACTGCTGTCAAAAGTGTTAAATGATTTGTAAATGATTTTGTATACTGATTACTGCATACTGTACAATTATTACTGTACAAATAATCAATTGCTCTCATTTTTTGTGACCATATTTTCCATATTTCTTCCATAATTCCATAATATAATGCCATTTTCCATTCCATAATGCTTCCATTCCATAATACCATATTAAACTTGAATATTACCATAATGAAGAGATCAAAATCTGTATAGTAAAGCAGAGAATTTTTATTAAAATGGAATCAAATTCATCATTTTACAATATTTTATTCAATATATTTAAGCTTTTTACCAGCGATATATTTGCAGTGAACTATATTACCATAAACCACAAAATCAGGGGTAGCGATGCTCTTTGATTTTGATGCATCTTGCTTAAGAAAAAAAAAAAAAATCAAATTAGGCCACAATTTTTAGCACAATTCAATTGTGGTATTTTTCACTCAATATATATTTGCAACACTTTTTGTATGCACAGCTAACCCTGAAAACAATGCGTACTCTTAAATTTCAGTTATGTCATTATAAATATTAAATTGCTACAACTAAAAACATACACCTACATATATGTAACTAAAAGATCACAATTCAACTACAAAACAGATCCATACTAGAATCAATTTGAATGAAGGTCTGATAAATAGGTCCATAAACACCACATACAGACTACATGACAAGATTTTAACATTCTGATTGTCACTAAGTATAGTCACTTTTCAAACTAAGAATTTAAACATACGTCTTTTCAGGCTATCAGTCAAACAGAATCTTTTCAGGCTATCAGTCAAACAGAGTTTAGACAATATCGTTGAGTCCATTTTCACATGTTATCTTATCTGTACAGGCATGTATATACAAGTACATGTACAGATTAAAATAAAGGTTTAGGTTTTTAAAAGGTGAAAGACACCAATTATAACATTCTATAAGACACATATTGGCCTCAAATTTATGTTAACAGTGCCAACTATGAACTATCAAGATTTTACCGTATGGATGTGATAATGTCCCATTAAATCTATCCTTTACTCAATACTATCAATCTAGTGCAATATACGCAAAAAAAGTGTAACAATCTAAACATGAGTGATATTAGAGTGATCATCTTGAATACTTACACAAATAGTAAATGTACAATTATTTTACATAAACACAATATAGATCAAATACCCTTAAAATATATAGAAACAAAACATCTGTAGTTCAAATGTGTATCAACAAATTTTAACAAAACTATCATGAATACTTTTATCAGAATAATCCAGCTACCGGTAAATGTCCGGGGTTTGCTTGATTCCCTGAACAAACTTGCATATAAAAGTCTTTTACAGATTCATTTCATACACATCTCGTTTAGATTACATTTTAATCATGGTACTTATTAAACTTATGAATTTCTGATAAATTAATTTAAAACTTCATACATTGATTTCAAAACTTATTTTGATTTCATAAGTTATCGCCATTCAGGACAAGTTTTACAATGTACTTATGCCATTAAAATCTAATCCACAAAAAAGGCCATTTTATATTTAACTTTAAGAGTTAGTGTATTAAAAAACATATTCTGTATCCACTTCACCTACATATTCACAAATGGAATCATATTCAAGGTTAATTAACGTGCCCCGATCCTTTAACAACTCTAGCATTGCCTTACTTCTTTCCTTGTCTCGCTTAATGATCTCACCTATGTAACCCTTGTACTTGCCAAACAAAACTACAACATAGGCAGGATCACTTTTAGGAATGACAGTTTCTAATGCAGATTCCTTCACGTTTTCTAAAATTGTACCATCTTCTGTCTTACAGGTAAGTTTATCTACACCGACCACTTCTTCCACTACTACTTTTGATTTAAAATGTTTTCCTTCGTCAATAGATTTATCAATTACTCTAACTCTCATATTTGCTCGAACCCAATTTCCGCCACAGGGTTTTGGTGGTGGGACCACTGCTTCTTCTGCTTTTGAAGATGACCGACGTTTTCGTTTTTCATGTCGTTCCTCTTGGTAGTCATCATATCGTCGTCTTTTTTCTTGATAATTCCGTCTATCCGGATAGTTTCTCCGGTCTTGATAATATCGATTGTCCTGGTAATTTCTATTATCCTGGAAATGTCTATTATCCTGGTAATGTCTATTGTAATTCCGGTTATATGGTTGGTAATTTCTATAAGGGTGGTAATTTCTATCTCTGTATGAGCTATTATATCTTGGACTTTTACTCCTGCGACGGTAACCACGGCTTCTACTCCTGCTACGACTTCTGCTGTAACTTCGACTTCTGCTGCTTCTACTCGAACTTCTGCTTCTACTTCTTTTACGACTTCTTTTACTGCGACTTCTCTTTCGGCTCCGGCTCCTACTCTTGCTTCGCTTTCTACTTCTGCTTTTACTACGACTTTTCTTCCTGGCTTTGCTTCTACTCCTACTCCTGCTTATTTTTCTTGTCTTCTTTCTGCGCTTACTTGGACTTCGACTACGGCTTTTACTTATCCTTTTGGTTTTGCTTTTGCTTCGACTTTTACGTGGACTTTTACTTGGACTTTTACTAGGACTCTTGCTCGAACTTTTACTTGGACTTTTACTAGGACTCTTGCTCGAACTTTTACTCCGACTTTTACTTGGACTTTTGCTCCGACTTCTACTTATCTTCTTCTCCTTTCGACTTTTGCTTCGACTTTTACTTGGACTTTTACTTGGACTTTTGCTCCGACTTCTACTTATCTTCTTCTCCTTTCGACTTTTGCTTCGACTTTTACTTCGACTTTGGCTTCTGCTTTTTCTTGGACTTTGACTTGGACTTCTGCTTTTTTGTGCACTTTTGCTTCTGCTCCTGCTCTTGCTAGGACTCTTACTTATCTTTACATCATCATCATCATCGTCACTGGAATCACTTTCACTGCTACTTGAACTTCGAGATCTTTTTTTCTGTCTCTTCATTTCCTCTTCCTTCTCTTTATACTTATCGGCTTTACCTTTGTTTAGGTATTTTGAATATTTGTCATAGTCTTTTTTCGGGACTAATTTGATGGAATATTGTGAGACTGTTTCAATTTTACCAGTGAGTGCTACTTTTACCATAACCCTAGCATTATCTTCATCTAACCCTTGAATGATACCATAAAGATCTTTACATGGACCTTTCAGGAATGTACAGTAGGCACCTTGTTTCATTTTCAACTGGCTTTCTTCGTTATTTTCATTACTGTTTGATGATTTGCCATTTCTGTCTTGGGTTTGTAGTGCTTGACTTCGATCTGCTCCCAAACCTAAACCTTTCGGTCTCATAATTGCTTCGACTGGAGCGACAGACTTAGTATTCTTTCCAATTCCTTTTCCTTCTGCCCATCCCATTCCTCGTAACATTGCTTTTCCAAAGTGATCTATGGGTATTTCATCATAATCTACCACATCTGGTGCATCAGGTCGCAAGGAAACATCTAATTTTTCATCCGTTTCAAAGCCTTCTGGAACTTTGTTCTTCATTAATAATGGAATTTGAAGATTGGGATTTACTTTATCTCCTCCTCGTTCATCCCAATTTTCATTTAATTTACTGGCATCTTCCAAAATCTCCTTAACAGCAACGTCATCTACTTCAGCACGCTTAATCTTATCTGGTTCATTTGCCAAAGGAACACTTCGCCAGTTGTTTTCTTTTATCAACGGAATCACATACTGTTTTGGGGCTTCCTTAGGTTTAGTACTTTTAACTTCCCTGCCCTCAAGAGACAAAACAAAGTCTTTCCCCTTGTCTTCGGATGCAAGATCTTCACTTACCACAGACTTTTGCAGTTTCTTCGAATCTATCTTCTTCGTAAAACCAAACGAAAACCCAGTTTTTCCACCGTTATCAATATTATCAGCCATGTTGGAAATTGTTATCAGTTTTGTCCTCCTTTCCAGAGAGTTCATCAAGGCGCGTTACAAACACGGCACGTGGTATAGTCGCAGGTATCCAGTCCCATACTATGTGGTTAGGATCGTTATCAATAAAAGTGCCATATGTGATATGTAATGGTTTAATAAGCCAAAACTTACAGTAATTACAAAATAAATACCGTTTTTTTCTGGGATTTAGGCCTTTGTTTTATGCACAATCAATTCTGAGATAACGAATGTCAATTATATAATATATTTTAAAATGTTTCTACTATAAAATTTGAAATGCCGAAACTTATGTAATTTCCAATAAATTTTCCACCCCCAGTCGATTGAACTCAGAGCTGACAAATGTAGAACATTGAGAAGGTCCTAAATCGAGAGCTCAAATAAAAACTTGAAAGTATTAGGTGACCCATATAGTATACAATTCAAAATGTAACAATAATAAACCATAAACAATCCTTCAAGCACGTGGTTAGAGTTTTCTGAGGCTTAATACATGTTATATATTTAGTTAAAGAAGGTAACAGAAAGAAAAGACAAAAAACAATGGAAAACTAATCAAAAGTTCTTGATTAATTTTTAAATCAAATATTTCGAATTCGTCATCTAATTCTGTGGTGCTCCCCTTACCATGATAAGCACGTGCTTGTTTTGCTTAATGGTGGATCCAGCCCAGGATAGATTGACAGACTGGCAGATAGACAGATAGATAGATAGATAGATGAAAAATGTGGAATAGAGAGTTGAAAAGACTAAATATTTATATTTATATTTGACACCCACCCACAAACACACACATATAACCACCAGTGTGTATTTATGTCCGAATATCTTTCTATAAGAAAGGGTGCAGTTTCAGATGCATTGGTGTCTTTTTAAAAATTAATAAAGAATAAAGGCGCACTTTGGAGAATAGTGTCAAACGCCTCGTATACTAAATTAGAGAGTAGTGTGCCAACTTTGCACATATTCTTAATATAAATCCCGATTTTGTGCTTTGGCAGACTACAATAATTTAAAGGAGCTAAATCGCTAACATTTGGGACCTAGAAATTAAAACAAGTGGGTCGCAACTCATATAATACTGTAACCTGAATGTATATAAACTGATTTACATTCAATCGTTTCCGTTTTTACTCTAATTTCAAATCAGTTATGTTCCGTGAAATAAGCCAGCAGTCTCAATCGAATGCAAATTCCCAGCGTCTGGTTATTACAGTCTACATACGCCGTTTGGTTTGGTGCAATATGTCTAGCCTCGTTCCTCGAGTCTCTCGCTAGAACTGGGGCTGAAACGCATTATGGTACACGATTCGTGTACCAATGGTAAAATATTTATTTTGTCTTAAATATTGGATATCAGAAGCCCATCTTTTTCCGGTAAGATAACAGCATCAATGTTGTTTTAAATTGACAAATAATTCGTGTTTTCAATGTTGAAGATTTTGGATGATATTGAGTTAGAGACTTAGCTACTTTAAGAGTGTGTCTGTCGGCCTAGAACCAGACGGCTTTTTTTTTTGGAAAAGGTGCGCCTTATGTCAAATGAGGAAATTTAGTAAGTTAATTATATACGTTGACGCGCAGACTAATTTTAGAGAATCCTTAACCTATAAAACATATTTTATATCAGTTATAATTATTTAGAAACAGTGGGGGATTTAGAGTACCGTAAGGTGGGATGGGGGCGTGGGTTTCAACTTTACAAATTATTATACCAATGACGAATAATAACTTGTGGTACTAACTACATTTCGAGTAAAACTTAACCTGGACGTCGTTACTTGATCAGCCAACACTTGCTCTCTTCGGACGGTTTTACCTTAAAATTTCAACGAGACCATGCTCGCCGGGCTTCCATAGATCCCCTACTTTCAGTTTTATTTAGGCGCCACCTATTGTACCACGTGACTAGTCTAAACATAACAGGAAAGATGGCGGATATTGGTGCAGGTAATAGCGCGCCGGTTATTTATTGGTATAATGACAGCTAGGATCAATTACTAAGATCAAAGCTAACACCAATTCATAATTCCATACCATTGTATTATATACAACATTTGATTTTTTCCGTTCTGTCAGATAATTAATGTTTCCAGACAATGTTTACAAACATTCAATAAAAGCCTGACCTAAAAAAAAAAATGAGAAAAATAGCGTACAAATCATAAATATTTGATGTCACTGTCAGACGTTTGCATTAATCAGACTCTTCTTATACTATTACAGTTTTAATTTTTGCATCTGGGGAAGACTGGGAGCCAGGTCTAATGTCAATGCTCTTCATAAGCTTATGGCTACCTTTTGTGTATATTTTGACTTCCTACTCCGAGTAGCCTACTGGATTGGAACTTTCTATCTTTTGTCTGATTCTAATTTTTATTATACATCCTGTAATCGGTTTTGATTAGCCCCAAGGTAGCCATAAATTGTCTCATTTTGAAATCAATCAACAACTTTTCTGATCAGAAAAATGCCTCTTGTTTCCGACACTCGTTGATTAATTATATCCATTAGGCAATAAATGTCAAATAATTGATCCACAGTTCTGTTATGTCCGACCCCTCCTTCTCTATGCTGGTCTTGTTTCTTCTAGCACAGACATCCCCCAGTCTGAAATGCCTGACTCTTCGTTTCCCCATTTTCATGACAATTGTGGTGATGGGTGGAGTCCTAAGGATAAGGCCTGTTTTTTGGGGCTTTTTTTTATGTGTTTGCCTTAGCTTGAAGGTTTCAGAGGATCTTCCAGTTTTTTTTAAAAATGTCACGCCAACTATATTAAAGAAATGGCCAACATTGATTGAAAGGTTAAATTATTCCTCTTTCTAAAGATGCTTTTGCAAATAAATTTCAATTAACAGGTTGTAGATTGGCTGACAACGAATGGGAGGGCAAGTGATTAAGCTTTTTTATTTCATTAACATATTTTGTAGGGTCTGAGATTGGCTATGTGAAAAATATCAAAAAAAAGGCATTCATTCATCACAATTAAAGAAGGCTGGAATCTGAAACCACAGACTACAAAAATATGCCTTCATGAAATTTGTTATTTGATGATATATTTAAAATAATAACATATTCAAACTACAGTGGACTCTGTCACATCTGACATCGTACGGGATCGTTACAATATTTTGGATCACATAGCGTTTCGGAATACCGAGCTTTCTCCAAAACCGGAAATACTGTAACTTCGAAAACCGGAAGTATTTTTATATTGTAGCTTCGAATCACCAGAATGCTATTCCCTTTCCTAGTGGTTGTAATATTGATGTAATCCATTTATCAAAAGTTTGCTTCAAATCCCTCTTCAAACATGTTTATCGGAATAAGCTACCCTCAATCTATTTTAAACAGCCTTGTTTGTCACATGACTTGATTAAGGAAGGGTCCATTTTCAGCTTTGTATTTGTCGTTATTTGCTGTCCATTTACAATACATATCAAAATTCTAGGATCATCCTGTCAACTTCTTTTTCTTTGGTTTAAACTTTAATGTACAATCTGTTGTCCTTTTGTCTCTCACTCTACTTACAAGGACTAGTCATTCGATCAACACATACCAAGTTCTCCCTACCTATCTCAGTTAAGAAGACAACAAACACTTACATCTTTGTCCTGTGCACATCCCATGGGTGTTTTTCAGGGAATCCTTTATTTTTCTAGTAAGATTGGGTGTCTCTAATTCCATACATGAAAATACCAAATTTTTATTAGTATACAACTCAGAATATCTATATGATGCCCAATTTTAGCTAGTACTTGTCAAAAATTTGATGAATATGATTTGGCTCATACCTTATTTTCTCATCACACTTACATTTTTTCCTATTTGCAGCCGATTCTGCCATACCTGGTGAAGACAATAAACAAGAATCCAAAACAGTAAGTTATTTCTTTGAAGTTTTATTAAAGATGTTTTAAAGAAGTTAAATGCTTGAGAAGTTAACATAGCTAACAAATTTATTTTGTGTCATTTAAATCCCACTTCAGGGCCAAGATGATCTTGAACAAACCATTGCTTCATTTAGCTATAAGTACTGATATGTGTCGTGCATCTGACTTGAGTTTTGTTGTAACATTGCACGTTAACCATTTGGATTTGATGGAATATTGATGGAATATTAATGTATTACATGTACAGTGAAACTTGAAAATTTGATATATGCTCTACAAGAGATTTTCAGGAATCATGAGACAATGAATTTCTAAACAAGATATGAAATTTGATATTCACATCAAAATTAGTATTGGTAATAAATTGTTATTTTATTCCATTGAAAGTTCTGAGAAACAAACCTGTATCTTTTTAATTTATTCTTTTTTTTTTAGTTACCTCAAGATGATAACTCTCCATCCAGTTCTGGTTTACCAGGTAGGCTTAGACAGATGATATGATATAGAATTAGGTCATTTAATAGTTATCGAATAAGAATGACAAGATGGATCACTATAGTTATTAATTTTGATCTAATTCATGCAGAAATATATAGAACACCAAATTTACCTGTTTCTAGTTTGATATCAGCTTTTTAGTAAATTTAACATCAACAATTTGGTAATGAAGAAATTAGGTCATAATTTGTAAATATGTATAATGCGATAAAAAATATTGAAATAATTTTACGACTCCAATGACATACCAGTAACAAACTCAACCTGCATCTTATACACCCTTGACAAACTCACTCCACGTCTTTTCATTCATCTTGGGGTGAATAGCTGAATGGTTAGCGCATGCGCGTTGTATCATAAGGTCTGTCCTTGAGCCAACTGGCATGGTTTCGATTCCCAGGTTGTACGTGACAAGGAGTAGGGTCGCCTGTTCAACCTCGTGGGTTTTCTCCGGTTCCCCCAGTTTCCATCCACTGCTAAAGAACTCCCCTATGCGCTAGCAAATTATTGAAAGAAAATTGAACCATATGTTGGTCCCGAAATGACCTAGTTTGTGTTGAGTGGAAGTTAAACCCATTTGTCTCTCTCTCCATTCATCTTATACTTGATTCTTTGAATAACATTTTGTTGGTTTGATCTTTTTTTATTAATGATTCAGAATCAAGTGACCAGGCAACTAATTATGTGATACAATCTGCAAGTTCACCATCTGCCTTTACTTCATCTGACCAACAGCCAAAAAATGGTGCATCAGTTTTACAACCCTCAAAATTAGCAGGCAATTTTAGACCTGGTGTACCCTGTAAGTATAACTTAATCACATACATTCACTTAAAATATACAAACAGCTGTTTAATGCTGTTGTATACTAAAATATATCATGTAAAGCACTTAAATGAACCCTTGACAGTTGGAATTCTAAGAGAAGTAGGTTGGAAATATTGTCTCCCCCCTCCCCATCACCATGTACATATAAAATAGAATTTAGAATATGTTAATCTCAAAATGACCCAACCATTTAATTTGTCCAAATTTTTCAACTTTAGATGCATTGATTTGGCGTTCATATTTATGGTTTTGAACCAGGTTATTAACTGATTATGTAATCAAGCATGTATACCTCTGTTTTAAGTTCTGTTGAACTGTCAGTTACACCTACTGAACAAAATATACAAATACAGTACAGAAATGTAACTATTAATTAACTATTAAATTTGTAATAATATCCCTACAAAAAATTGTTTTAGAATATTAAAAAGTAATTTTAATAAAATAGATATGATTACTCTTATTTCAGCTTTTGGTGGGGAAAGCAATATAGGAGGTAAAAATATCATTTTAACATAAAATTTAAAAAACAACCTATTATAATTCAGGTATTGCTATGGATTAAATATCCACAACAATATCACCCTGGGTGTAAGCGGATGTATACCCCTATTAATTGTTGTTATTTTTAGGTCTCATGTGTAAATTTTAGATTTTAAATCAAACTCAATCAATGAAATATTAAAAATTTCTTTCTAGGTTCATTTGGTACCAACCCCTTTGCCCAGAACTCTCCTAGTCATGTTGAGACTGTGTCTGAAGGTTAGTTCAATTGAATTTATTTTCCATATATTATACAAACTTTAGTAAGGGGAGGTAACTAGGCTTTCTTTGTCCTTATCATCATATTGTCTCCCCTTAGACCACACATTTAGATTTAGTAGGGTGCCCCATGCAGCCGAAATTTTCCCGACTGAAAGTTGAACTCATCACGACGAATGTGCACGCTTCAGTGGCTTGTCTCAAAGTGATTTCTGGCTAGTCACCTCACATGGTGCAATATAACTCCGCACAAGAGTCTATAAATTGCCATCACATGTGAAATTCTCTACACATCTATCAACTATTACAGCCATAAAAAATACTATTGTTGACGATTTTGAATTGCAGTAATATTTAGCTTTTTGGTTATTACAGCAGCTTTAGAAATTATGTTTGTTTTATATTTTGAATTGCTTTATCATTAACTATACCGTAAGGAGCGGCATCTTTTGGTTTAGTGCAAATAATATCTCTGATACAAGAACATGATACAAGCAGTAGTTTCATTTTACTTTGGCAAGGTTCTTAAAACAATTGTTGAGTTGTCTAACGAGCATGTTTCTACATTCAGTTTCTTGTTCCAGCTTTCTGTTATGTTTCGTAAAAAAGTAGTCTTGATTATCCCAACCTGTCAATAAAACGGAGAATGGTCGGTAGACTGGTTAAGCGAGACAAATTTCAAAACAAGGGCATGTAACCTATTTTTTACTCAAAAGTGCCTGGATGTTATTTTTCAGTCTATTATTTATTGATGGTTAAATGGTCATAGCTTATTAAGTACAATATGACCATTTATTTAGTGACTATAAATGTGCGAAACTGATTTAAGGCTTGGCACATATATATATAAATATTGTGGTGTAATTGTCAAGATATTTATTTATGGTGGGGCACCCTAGTTTTAGATGAGAAATACATTGTTGACAATATTAATAAACCATTTAATATATTGATATCCATATCCAAGAATACATTCAATCTATAAAAATCAGCTTTTTTTTTGCTTTTTTTTTTTCCTTTGCTTTTCAAATAAAATGCATAATAGGTTCAAATAAATAAGTTTTGGACATAGATTCTTTTGCTGAAAAAAAAAAATGTATAGCCAAAACTTTGAAGAAACAATCTGTAAATCACATCAAACTAAATGGACATGTATAATTTTTCGTAATTTTTTTCTCTCCTTAAAGGTGTTATAGCTCCGAGTAAGTTTTCCTCATCTCCCATGGCCAATCGGTTCGGTTCAGGAGAAGCGGAATCCGATGATGGTAAAATATATTTTAATCTTAATATTTAATTTATGATAACTAATTCATACCATAACTGTTAACAATAATATGTAATATATATTTGATATTTATATCATTTCTAGAAAAAATAATTTGATGTTAAAAGCTGATGACCAAATTTTGACATTGACTTACTCATTAAATTAAATTTGAATATTATTTTTAGAAAATTCTTAGAAATTTCTTTAAGTATTTTTTGACTGTTTACATAAAAATTGAATAATTTTTTTAATTTCATATAAAATATTTTTGAATTAATAATAAATTATATTTGAATTAATAATAAATTATTTTTTAATCAATAATAAAATATTTTTGAATTAATAATAAAATAATTTTTTTTAAAAAAAAGCGGAATAATTATAATAACTTATAGATATGTATAGAAATAGAGAATTGTTTAAATTTTTAGAAAGAGGTTTTCGTGGGTTTCGATCTGTTTTGGCACCATCTAAATTGGGTAAGATATTTTTAGAAGATTGATAGTATTTATTAGTAATACTAAAATGCAAATAGAGGTAAACACAACATGCATGATTGTTGTGAACATTTCGTAAAATATTTATAATGGAATCATCACTTTTTTTTTCAGGCATATGATAATACAGAAACTTTGACCATTTTGTAATTTTATTTTTAGCCATTGGTTGTGTTTATAATGTACATTGAAAGATAACCATTCTCTTGTATATAATGTTAACTTTTCATAGAAAAAATATATGCAAAGTGAATCAATAAAATCCTCTTGTACATAATGTTAAATTTTAAAAAAAATTATACAAAATGAATAATTTGCAATTCTGTTCCTTTCTATTTATATAAAGTTTTGTGGGTTTTTTTTCTTTAAATAAAGTCATATTTTTTTTTCTTTTTTAAGGTTCCAAAAACAAAGAGGACAACAGACATAGATTTCAGTTTCGTCCTTCAGTACTTTCTTCAAAAGTTGATTCATTAACGAACAAAGGTAGTTTTCGTTTTTCAAAAGCTTGTTTGATTAAATGTTGGAGGTTGTCGAATACAGTAAACTGGCCACTTGATATTAAGTTTTTATACGCCCACATTTTCATGTTGACGTATATTGTCGTCGCCCCTGTCCGTCCTCAATTTGTTTGTGAACACTCTACAGGTCACAATTCTTATCTGATTTTGATGAAATATAGGGTTATCTCCAAAAGATCTTGGCTGCTTTCGATATTGGCATGTATCGGATCAAAACTTCATGGATTATGGCCCCTGTTTGTACGAAATATCACATATTTAGTTTGTGGACCCTATAGAGGTCACAATTTTTATCCAATTTTGTTGAAACTTGAATTGTAGGTTAATAACCTAAAGATCTCGGTTCATTTCGATATTCGGGCATATCGGACCGTCACTTCCTGAATTATAGAGGATATGATTTTTATCTGATTTAAAAAAACATATTATATCACCGTTACACCCTAAGGACGACCGAGTTCAAATTTCGTGAAAATTGGCCCAAAATTGACAGACAAAATGTCTGCCGTTCGTTCTCCAATAGCGTAAAAATATGGTATATCAAGGTTGTGGACCCTATAGAGGTCACAATTTTTATCCGATTTTGTTGAAACCTGAAATGTAAGTTTATAACCCAAAGATCTCGGTTCCTTTATATATTCGTGCATATCGGATTGTAACTTCCTGAATTATGGCCCCTGATTGTACGAAAAATCACGTTTTTAGCCTGTGGACCATAGAGAGGTCATAATTTTTATCCGATTTAAGGACGGCTGAGTTCGAATTTCGTGAAAATCGGCCCAAAACTGACAGACAAAATGGACGCCCCTCGTTCTCAGATAGTGAAAAAATATGGTATATCAAGGTTGTGGACCCTATAGACCCTATTTGCACATATTGAATTGTAATTTCCTGAATTATGACCCTTGATTGTAGGAAAAATCACTTTCTTTTTAGCTTGTTCTCTAACCATCTCTCGAAAATGTGGGTGTATCCTACCTGGCAGCCGCCGTTTATACAATGCAAAGATTTGATATTAATTAGAGTTATATACAGATTTATATCAATGTAGCTACTTTAATGAATATATATCTTGTATAAGTGTGATGTTGATAAATATCTGTCAGGTTTTATTACTGTATTAATACCATTTTGTAGTTAGGTTTTTATTTTATTTATTAGAATGTGGTGTTGCCAGTAGTAATTCGGTTTCACCAGTATCGTCAATACTCAAACCAGCAACATTACCAGATCCTAGATTAACTACTGACAGTTCAGGTAGAACTCTACCTTCTTTATTTTGAATATTTCATCCCATATTTCCACTTGTAGGCTTGATAAGCAGCATGTACCTAAGGCTACACAAAATAAATGTCTTGTTTCTCGGGCAACTGACAGCTGAAACTGTAGGGGGGGAGGACGGTTTCTTTTTTTTTTTTATCTCATTGCTGGCTAGAGGATGGTGCAAAATAAAATTTGATATAGTTGAAAATTGTTGGGGCGGGAGGGTGGCCTTGTTTGTTTATGAGAAAGTCATTACTTGTCTACGGTTTTGCTTTCGGTTATATATTGTACATACTTAGAACATAAACCCCAAAATCAAGTCTACTCAAACACTGAACACTGACTGAAAGGAAAATAATTTCGATATTTATTTCACGTAATGTAGCTTACAAATGGTAATGGTGACAACCATAATTGAAATTGGTTTAAAATAACATTCCGTACGACTATTAATAGCCGTCCATAATAACAACAATAATTTAAAGAGTAAGCCTCTGTCAGCATGTATATCAAAAATAATCATCACGGTAAACGACACTTTGAACTAAATCTAGTATCGCTGGTTTGACCTAATTCCAACCAATGCATGTCACGTGTCATCGTGATTCGTGAAATGACTGTATTTCAGGATATTCGGTGTGTTTCTCAGGATATTCGGTGTTCTATCTGGGGTTTATATCGAATGACTATTTAAATTTAGATAACAACTGGTCAGTAAAACCATTAAATGTGTAATCCAATTATTATTTTCCGGATTATCAAAACTACTGTTATGTGCTAATGATCCAGATTCTGACTAAGGTATGGTGACTATCATTGTATCGTATTCGTGGCCACAAGTAATAATTAACCTGTTCTACGATTCATTGTTTTATAAGTAGGATATTTCAAACATGGACCGACTGAAGCCGGCAATAATGAGCCGATTAATATCGAATGATTGAAATACATTGCATTGTTGTCACTGACTTTCGGTGTTTAACACGAATCAAATTCTAGTTCACCAGGGGAGGTAATTAAAATCATGTGATACAAAAATGGAGGTTCTTTCGATATCAAAAAAAAAGACCCGTAAATGAGCGTTTACATCTGTATCAGTTTAATACATTTGAATGGTTATTCACGTATGGGGCATGTAGATACAGTACATGCGGCATATTCTTTTTATGACTTGCTTATCGATGTTCGGGCGGGCTTTACATATTTTTTTTTTTTCATCAAGACTAATAAATAGGCTGCACGCGCAACCAATTTTGCGTGCGGGCGGTGCCCGAGAAACAACTTATTTTATTTGTGTTGCCTAATCCTTCAGGTTGTACAAAAAAACGAGCTCCAGCATTGTATTGAAAGCTTTTTGAATTATTTAAGCTGAATTTTAATTGATTTAATCTATTTTGATATCCATATGCCATAAGTACCCCCTATTTATATTAGAATATGCCATGATTGCTTCTTAACCTGACCTCTGTATTCTGGGAAATGATCACTCTCAATGAACACCTGTATCTTAATTGTGAAATAGTATTGGTAAGAATGGTGTTTTGAATGTTTCTAGGTTCTGATAATGAAGCCCAAGCCAAGTCTGTTTCATCTAGCGATAGTAAAACATCTAGTGTAAATGATAACACTGGATCAACATCAGTTATATCTAGTACAGCACCAGATGAAGCATCCAAGGAAAACCATTTTACAGGTTTACCTGAATCACGGTAAATCTTCTTTCTAAATCTAAATAAATGTTAATTTTTTTTCTTATTTAAATAAATGTTAATTTTTTTTTTCTTACAAAGAATTGATTTTGTTAGTCTCAAAATAATCATTTAATAAGGCCATGTAGAACTTCATCAATTATCCTGGAATCATGATGTCATAAATTGGGGGAGAAATTTTGTGTTATAATGATCTCTGGACATTGTACTATAACCACCCTTCAATTCTAAAGACATATTTATCTTCTAAAAAGATGATCTGTGGATAAGATTAATATAGATTACAATTACAGTCCAGGAATTTTAGCACTAATCGTATTCCTTTTGAAAATAGACAAAACAAATTCAACCCTGACCACAAGTTTTCTATGTCATTTATCTTGAAAATAAGGGGAGGCAGTAAGCAGGACAGATGTTCGTAGCAATACTCTAGTCACTCGATTTACCTTTCGTTTTAGTCGTGTACATACAAAGATCATTCAATTAAATGGGCTTTTATGGTTACTGTAAACAGCAAAAGTACCAGTACATTTTATTTATTTATTAAAAAACTAGCAGGATACCCGGCTTCACTCGGGGGGCATAACTCCGAAACCGGAAGTGGTAGACTAACGCCACCTGGCCTATGTTACTCCCCGGTCTGAGCTACCCCTATACCCCAAATTTCAGACTCGGGGCAGACCTAGTGTAGCCGCCAACCCCGAACAGACAGACAGACAAACGACAGTCACAAAAATTAGTATATATATATAGAATAGATGAATGAACTGATTAATGGAATATTCTTTAATTGACAGAAATGTAATTTAATGTCAATGACTTTTCGTTATTTTAGGTTACCTAATTCCACTTCAAATCTAGGAAGTTCTGATTTTGTTTTTGGTCAAAATTTATCAAATCGAGTTACGGTAAGTTGATTGTAATTACATGTCTGTATAAATTATTATTACAACTTCAATCTTTCAGTCTTATTTATTTTTTTATTCCACACCAAACCTAGTTAAGGGAGGAATATTGAAATGGGCTCCATCCTTCTAGAATAATTTTGTTTCCCCAGCATCAACCTGTTATAGTAGTTGTTCCTTTTGTTGATTACAAATTTTCAGTTGAGTAATTGGTGTGTTTCCATGATGGATTTTATAATTGAACTGTTTTAGTACCGACAAAATAGTCCAAAGTTTTGTTCCTAATTTAAAACCATTATAAGCATTATATTAAATGCCATTTTAAGTTTTTACAAATTTAATTGAATTTGGGGGTAAATTATTGAATATACCCAATTTTTATTGTATAAATTATTGAAAAGACTTTAAACAAGATATGGGTAGAGGATGTTGGACGACAGTGGAATTTGATTACATGCAGTTTTAATTATTACCATGATTACAGGGAGTTTCATCAACTAATGTTAATGATGATGGTGGACCTGGCTTTTTATTTGGAGAAAGTTTGGGTGAAAGAGTTAAAAATGGTGAAGAAGAAAAGAAAGATGAACCTGATAGTAATGAAACAGTTTCTAGTCCAGGTATAGAATTTAATTGAAACACCATCTCTAATAGTGTGATAGTAAGGGTGTGAGTTTCGCTGTTTAGATTTTGTTTTTCGCTCTACACCCAGTAAAATAATGTGTCATTCATTTTTGTAATATTTAGTTAATAAAACATAGATAGGCTTATAATGACAGCACTGATTTGTCATAATATGAAAAAGTCTATATTAAGCGTTTCTCTTAATTGATGAACCACAAGTATGTCTGGCAACCTCAACAAATGTCATTCATATTGAAAGTTATCCCTACAGAATATTTGTGTATGAATCTTCTGTTATTTTAAATGTATATTTCAGAACGAAATCAAACTCTGGCTGAATCTGCGCGTGAATATCAAGCTAAACAAGAAAATAAACCCGATTTAAAGGAAGTAGAAGTTGTAACAGGTGAAGAAGAAGAGTCCAATGTATTACAGGTAAGACTTTTAATCCTAGCACCTCACACCTGTGATAGTTGAAATGAAAGGATCAATTCCTGATGTTTACCAAGAATAATCTTTGAGGTTTTTCGAAAAGTTCCGTCTGTTCTAGAGCAACTCGTGTGAGACCAAGAAGTAAAGCATATCTGGTTGCTTTGTTGTGACAGAAACCAAAGTAAACACGATAAGCTATTGAAACTTGAAATTTGGAGAGAAAAAAAAAATAGGTTGAAATGACCCACCCCAATAGATAATATGTTAGTCCCAAAGTAACACAGGTGGGGGGGGGGGGGGTTGGATGGCTGAATGGTTAGCACGTGCACACTGTATCATAAGGTCTATCATTGAGTCTACTGGTGTGGTTTTGATTCCCCAGTTGTACATGACAAGAAGTAGGGAAGCCTGTCCAACCTTGTGGGTTTTCTCCGGGTCCTCCTGTTTCCTCCCTCTGCTAAAATCCCCTTCGCACAAGAGAATTATTGAAATAAAATTGAATCATGTGTTAGTCCCAAAATGATCTAGTTTGTGTCGTGTGGACGTTAAATCCCATTTCTCTCTATCTCAAAGTAACGTAAGAAATAATTTTGAAAATATATCATTATTACAGGCTACAGCCAAATTATATTTATTTGATGGCGATAATCAAACATGGATTGAGAGAGGTCAAGGATTATGCAGATTAAATGACATGACATCAAGTGAAGCGGAATCATTTCAATCCAGATTAAGTAAGTAGATTTTGTATTAACAAAAGTCACGATTTTGTATTAACAAAATTCACGATTTTGTATTAACAAATTCATGATTTTGTATTAACAAATTCATGATTTTGTATTAACAAAAGTCTTAATTATTGGTCAAAACATTGGTAAAAATACTGATGTGTGCAGGTAACGCAATTGGCTCATCTGTAATCCACACTTTTCTTCTTTTAACTAAAGTCGTATTTTATTGAAATGTTACAAGTTAGGTTTAAAAGAAGATAGGTTTAAAAGAAGATTGAAAATAAAAACCTTATAGATAATAACTGAGTAAAAAGTACTTTAATTTTAAAATACTCTATTAATGTGAAATTGTAAAATGCAAAATTAAGAAAACCACATACATATAGAGATAAATATGTTAGGAGTTTATATTATGTTTATATTATAGTTATGAGAACACAAGGTAGTCTACGTGTTATATTAAATACACCTATATGGTGTGGTATGACAGTAGAGAGAGCTAGTCCTAAGAGTGTACGTATTACAGCAACTGATGGAGATGATGGTGTTAAAATATTTGTAATAATGGTACGTAAAATCTTTATCCTTTGATATTAAAAGTCTGTTGTGGCATTAGGTATTGTAGAAAGGGTATGACTCATGTGATAGTCGTGCTCCTGGCAAAGAAAAAGCTTCACGATTTTCCAGGCTTGGTTTCTCCCTTGGAGTTCCTGGTCAATCAAATGAGACCAAAAGACAAAGGACACCCGCGAATTCCATGACATTCATGTAAAATAACTCTTGAGAGGAATAGGCGGATTAGGCAGAGTTTCTGCTGTTCTGGTAAATTTTCCCTCTACGTCACACTGCTGTTGTGTTGACGAGATATAAGCACCATTTCTTTCCTTACATTCAAATAAATTGTTTAACATTATATTTTTGTAGTCTAATCCTAAAGACAGTGAGAATTTACTACGCGCTATAGAATGGCGAATACAAAGATTAAAATCATCAGAAGAAAATAAGCCAAAATCTACAGAAGATCAGGATAGAGGTTCAGAAAAACGCAAAGCAGATTCTACAGATTATGAAACTGTTGGTAAAAAATCAAGGTAGGCCTACTTATAGAACTGTGATTTCTTTCTTTATATTTTATGGGGTGTTGGGTGATTGTCTGGTCGAACGTTTTAAGTCATGTGCAGTAGATCATAAGGCATGTTTTTATTGAAAGTCATAGGTTCGATTACACGGTTGTATAGAAGGGTTGCATGGATTTTTTTCACATACTCCTACATTCAAGCGATTTATTTTTAAAAAAAATAATATACCACATGTTAGTCCCAATATGACCTAGTAAGTGTCAATTAAGTGAATGTTAAACCTCATTTCTCCCTCTCTCTTAAAGGCATAATAAGCCAGGCCCCTGTTTCGCAAAGTATTCTCAGGTTGAAGTTAAGAATTTACTTAACTTCCAATCACTGTTTATGAGGAAAATGTGCACATAGTTTTTTTATTGATGTATTTGATACATTAAAACAACAAAATATTTAATGTAGAGACAGTTGTTGCTTTGTAATTAAACATATCTGAGTATAAAAACTTCTTAAAGATAGCACCATTGGTATTTCTTGTGATAGCAGTGTTGAATCTATAGAAACTAATGTTCATAAATTGCTAGAATTTATCAATTTGAATAGGTTTCGGACCAAACTGTACATAGATCTACATAGATTAATAGACTAGAAGTGTAACAGAACCCCAATAATAATAATCACAAATTTCAAATATTTGCATGAAAATATTTTTAAATTGCTATTTGAACAGATCTTGTGGCTTTAGTTATTCAGTTTTTGCAATCAAACATTTAAAAATAAAGATATGGAAAATATATTGATTTTTTTAAAGATGAAGCACCAAGAACAATGCAAACATTGATCCTTTAAATTGATTCAAATACTAGAACAGTAAAATCAGCATTTACCGTGACCATTGTAAAATTATCCCTCCTTGAAGTCTGCTGGGATCAAAGGTCAGGAAGCTTTGATCCTATCTCCTGCTGTTCCATCACCCTCCCTATATTATTTACCATATTTATATTTAAGACAAGTACCAGTAGGAGTAGCAGAGAGTACAAGAGAAGAGTCTGATAGCAGTGTACAAGATCCCGAGACAGAAGGTCCAACTAATACTTAAAGTAATCCTGCTTTCTCTACAGCACAATCCATTCTTTTCAATCTAATTAATAATGTCTTAATTCATCTGTCCAATCACTTTTCTTTTTCCATAGAAATTGTGCTGTAAGATCTTTCTTAGAAAGATTTAGATCAATAATACCTTATTCATGAAAAACTTAATATTGATTGTATCATAAAATTACCACTTAAAACATGGTCAATATAACTGTGATTTAAATTATGGAAAACATTAAGGATCAAAAAATGTAAATTGTCTTGAATTAGCGGATACAGATCAAAAATAAATAACAAAACATTACAGTCACATAAAGATGGTAGCACAAAATCATTAGAAACTAATATAAATTTCAAATGGCCCTACATTTGATACAATAGATTGTGTACAGTCCAAAACTGTTCATTTGGCATTTGTTCGGAATCTTTAGCATTTTGAATAATGATTTAAAGATATTGTTACAGTCAATATTAAGGATTTTTAATGTTTTATGAATAAGGTTTCAGTATTTGTGCACATTAATTAAAAAAATAGCACCCGCAATTTATTTAGTAATGGCAGTTTGATCAATATATTTTTATAATATTCATATACATGTAACGGTAGACTCAATTGTTCCAGGCCATATTGTCTGTCTCGATTAAATAGTAAGACTAAATAGTGTCAGTTGTTGATCTGGCTGTCTCATTTTACCAGTTAACAATGCATGTACTCCTAGGGAAGGGGGTGATCATTTTTCCGCTCATCCAATCATAAGACATATTAAAATCACTATGACTCCTGACATTGCATAGATAATTGATACTATTTGTCCAAGTATCTACAATTCACATTTTGTTTGTGGACCCTCCACAGGTTACAATTTTTTTACGATTTTGATGAAACTTGAAATATAGGTTTATATCAGTGATGGGATTTTACCCGTATATTCCGGACTTGTCCGAATCTTTTTTAGAAACGCCCAAAATTGTCCGACCAGGAATATGCCCAATCGGACATCAAGACATGGTGAATAATATTCAAATTCCAAAATTGATATAGTGTACTGAGTGTATAACTACCGTGCAACCCGATTATCGTGGATAATAGGCTGGATTGATTAGGTAATTAAGTGATCGACTATTTATCGTGTTATATCATCTACACACCTACCTTGATTAACTACTATTCTGCCTTGATTGGCTGACTTAATCCTTTGTCGGACAATTCATCAAATCAATCCTGAACAGAAGTCATTGCTTCTCCTTTGTCGGACGATATATCAATCCAATAAGAGTGATTATAAACTTAATCTGATTAACCCGTGATTTCTCCATTGTCTCACGTTTTAATCTCCTTTGTGTCGGACAATAATACGTAGAAATTAGTCATATATGTCTACGTGCCAAATCCAATACGCCTGATGTCCGGGAAAAGATTCTATTTTGATGGCATATTGTCGGATTTATGATCATATTTTGAAGGGGGTTTATGTCTTTAAATAAATAAATAAACACGCTAAGAAATGTTGACGAATATTTCGATTGGAATGACGTAAGTAGTTAATTGTTCTAGATGATAACGCGTGCTACAGTCGAATGCAATTATTTAGCTCGCTGTATTAGAGCGTCGTTAACTACAGTTTACGGCCAAATAAATTTCGGGATGTCATTTTTTTACCTTATATAAATCGAAACGGAGTATCAGACGAATGTCGGACTTTGCTGAAAAATGTACCGACGTATGACCCGAAAAATACAGTAATTTTGGGGGAGTTTGAAACAGATCAGCAGCAGATGCCATTCTATAGTATTACGATGTCATGTAATTTTGTAGGAATATTATTGACATAAATTTGAATACCGTACGGGTTTTAAACATGAAATATATTTTGTTGACACGTGATTCTTAATCGTGTTTTGAAAACGTCTGCTTAAATTACGATATCAGTTATGCCCCTTTATTTTCGGGAAAAAATGTCCGACAAGAAATTTTTTGAAATCCCATCACTGGTTTATATTATATCCCAAAGATCTTGCATCATAATTACGGTTGAGCTTGAATTTTGTGGAAGTCGGACCGAAACTTCCAATCAAAATGGCCGCTCCCCTTTACGCAAATAGTATAATAAGCATGTAATACCAAGGTTGTGGACCCTCTAGAGGTCACAATTTTTATCCAATATTGGAGAAACTTAAAATATATGGTTATATCCCAAAGATCTTGTTTCCTTTCGATATTGACGCATGTCAGACTGTATAACATCCTGGACTATGGCCCCTGGTTGTATGAAAAACTGCTTTTTGTTAGCTTGTTCTCTGTCCATCTCTTGCAAAATGTGGGCGTATCTTGCATGGCAACCGCTTGTTTATTGTCTATTAGCTCACAATGACTAATTAGCTTTATTTATAACTATCCACCTATATCTCAGCTTTAGTTATATACATAAATAAAAGTTAAATACAAGAAGATAACAGAATTATCAACATTATTAAATCATGTTTACTGTACTTCAAGTAAATTGCCATATTGAGAACTAGTGCAAAGATGTACCAGTTCTTGATTTAAATCATAAATTTACTTTTATTTACAAAAAATTATATCAATTGAGTACATCACGGTAAATTTAGTATGGAATGGAATATTTGTTGTAATTACAGAGTTGAATTGAAACTTTATTGTAACTTATCATACATGTCAAACTGACAGCAACATACATTCTGAAATCGGCTTTTATGACATGTTTCAACAAGGAAATTGATTTTTTTTGCACTGAAAGTGATGGAAAATGAACCCTCAAATAACAAGCAAAGGCAAAATAGTGCATTGTATATTTGTTTTTGGCATTATGAAACAGGTGCCTATTACTTCTAAACTGAGGTCTTTTAGTAATAAAATGTTTGTCATTAAAGCACACAAATCATCATTACTCTAAACTAATGCTTAGTAAGAATAGAAAGAGTTTAGAAACATACAATATTAATTAATTAGTAGGCGTGTAACTAGCTGTAAGATATGTTACATTTAGTGTGAAAGTGTGGCTAATTCTAATACCACTACTACTTATTACACAAACCCAAACTGTCCTAGTGTATATCATTAATTAGTCAAGGTCTTAACACCTTAGTGACATAACACCTACTTAATGACTACTGCCAGATTCCAAACATTATGCATATAAAATGACATCTTAGATTTGTTTGTCATGGGTTTATAAGTGAAGGATATCAACTTTACAGTGTATGGTAATTGTCATTGTAATCCATCTGGTGGAAACTAATTCATTCATTCTGCCCACAGAGAACTATTTCTTCGAGAAAAGATCGCTGACCTGAATGGGCATCTCATCCAAAAATTTGTATACTATTTTGTAATGCCGTTCTACTCCATTTCATTGCTATCATACACACAAAGACTGAATAAGCCTTTTCAAAGTTATTAAATGGAAGCAGACTAAAAACTTCTCAAAATGTTCAAGGTATGCTTAGTGTTTTCGACTAACATCTATTTTGGATTTAAATGTCGGTCAACTAGCTAAGTGTTTGTTCTCACGCAGTGCTAATTGTAGACAGGCAGCATATGTTGAGTGTGTAATTCTTTTATTTAAAACACAGAGCACTTCCGTAAAAATGGACAACAATAATTTACAATGTTTGCCTACTATTCACATACCTGTATCATTTGCTTGATAATGCCAATAGTATCCTTGGCGAAACGTCACTTAGAATTAAACTCAGTAATTATTTATCCATAAATTGTACCTTGTTTTAATAATTTACTGAAAGATACATATATATGTTATTTTCTTTTACAGCATCTTGTGAAAGTCATTCTTCGTCTTTAACAATAAGATCTGAATCATCGGAGTGAAAGATGTAAATACTGTCTTGTTTTAACACAAGGTGAAGAGAGATTTTACTAGAGATATCTGTTATACTGCCTAGTATTACCAACGTTTAATACATGTGTACTTCCAATTTGACAAGAACCGTGTGGAATCGGATACATTTCGTCCCAGCGGTGCCAATATGGACATTTTTTTTATACGTGGACATTCATTCACGTGACCATGTTTATAAACAGAACGAAATTTCTGTGAAATTGATCGTCTCGAAGAAGCATTAGATGTTTTGATGCTGAATTTGCCTGAAAGTGCTCTGAACGGAATTAGAAGTATGTTTGGAAGCATGTTCTGAAGGCAGTGACAAGGTGCTTATGTTTTCTGGTAACTGCAAAGTGAGAGATTTGTTGTGATTCCATGAACAAAAATATTTGGTTAACATTATGTGTTTGTGAAAGAGAAACTTTCTTTTTCAAGTTTTATGAAAATCATGGATTTAAAACTCTCCATAAATATCCAATGAATAAGGTGTGTGTCTATTAGATACACTTGATATTTAAATAAAAGCAGGGATTAAGTTTTATGACTTGTGTATGGATCTAAACCAACTTAACTTTTGCCATCTATTCAATTAAAAAAAGTATTTTTATATTTGAAAATGTCAATAATGTATGTTTGATAATTATGATAATGACCGAACTGAAATTAAGTGCCTATTAAATTGAATAATAATCTCTTATTATCCTTAAAGCCAATTTTCCATACAGTTTTGATGCCTTGTCCAAATCATTGAATTGTGACCGATAGATAAGTTGTATTGAATTATTTTAATGTTATGAAAAGTCGAGTTCCCTGCATACAAATAGATCCTGTAGAAAAAACAGTATCCTCGCAACTGGTCTCAACGAATAAGGTACAAAAACATGGCTGTCCGTGAACAATTCTCTTCCTCACATTATCTGTGTACCTGTAGTCTTATTAGATTACAAATCCTATTTTGTTTCATTTTTATACTTCAAATTTTGTTTTATTTGTCTTCATGACACTTGAATATGGAAGAGTTTAACCAATCAGGGATTAACCAATCAATTCAGTTGTCAAATAAAGTAGAATGGACTGTCAGTTGAGGTCATTGAAAGTATTAAAAAATACCAGATCGAATTAAGATCTGTAGCTGAATCAGTTACTGTTTTTATCTCAAAATGACCAATGTTTTCTAGGCTATAAATAAACTAAATGTTTGGTGAGGAAGAGGATTTTATAATTAATAGTTTTAATGTCTCTGAAAATGAACTCAGACTTTTGTCAAGCAAGGCTCAGAAAATGTTATGGAAAATAAGCTTTGCTATAGGAAAATAAAAACCCCTTTATAATCTTTAACTGGGTCACTAACTAGATATGAATAAACTGGTTTACCTTTATTTGTTTCATCTTAACCCTTTAGCACTAGGTACAGGTAAATGTTGACTACCTAGATTCCTTGAAAAAAAGTAGAGAAAAGTGATAATAACGGTATATTAATAACAGTACATCCCTGAAACCATACAAGAGAGATTAATAATACCTCTTTGTATTGTAGGACCATTTACTAGTTCTTAGGTGTGTTGCATCTATTCATGGGGTGCTATAAGTAGTTTCGTGCTTTCCAAGTGCTAAAGGGTTAATTTTTTCATGATATATGTTATTGCCTACCTTATATGGACAGTTCAATACGACCTTTTGACCCACCCAGACAAATCCTTATGAAATTATCTAATTGATTTAAGATTATTTTAAATTTGTAATACAGGGTTGTTGTAAGTGATAATATATATTAGCTATATGACTCGCACAATTTCTCGAGTCCTGCAAAATATGCTGATTGTATTATAACATTTTTTTCTATATCTGGTGGCCTTTTCAGAAGCACATTATTCATGTATAAAGGGTATTATCAGTACAGGAAAATCTATATAAAGTTTTGGAATTGGTCAATATTTGAAGCTATGTGTGATATCAGTGACTACATGTACTGAGACACATGTAGTTGTAGAAAAATTCAAATCCAACAGTGTAATTGCTGGTGTGAGTTAGCATTATTAAAATCCTGATTACAAGGGTGTGTTTGATTGAAAGTATGTGCTTGATTTCAAGCAATCTGAATCAAGATTATTTTTCCTCATTCCAAGTAACAATCTGGATTTGATTTCACAGAATACATACATTACTCTGTCATAGATTTGTGAATAACATACATTTTGAATCTGAAGAATCCTAACCACAAGTCCAAACTGCTGATTCATGTATCTGAATCAGACTGTAAAAGGAAAGTGATCAATCACCTAAACTAATCTGAACACTCACTTCAGACATGTACAACTGAGAGACTGATACTTTGCTGTTAAAGCATGTTTGTCGATTCAGATTTGAAAATATCTAGGAAAACGAACAAAATATATACTGAATCAACTTCTACTATCAAATGTTCCAAATTTGTGAGAATGAATCTGGTATATCTAAGAATGGGTTGTTCCTAGACCAAATTTTGTTCTACTTTTATTAAATAATTTAATATCCAGGATCATACCATTAGCATTGTAGACAACTTTGTATCTATTATTAGCTCATACAGGACCGTTTATAGTCTGAAACATTAAAACAATCCTCTCTTAAAAATATGTCTTGCATACTAGGGCTCCGATTTTGGCCATGTTTGCAAGTCTTCACTGACTGGCATTGAAATTGATTGGCTAGAGGAATTACTTGTCAGTCAATTTACTGGGCATAGAATTAGTTAAATTTATAGTTCTTATGTCTATAAACACTTATAAAAATTGGGACAATTATGAAATTGTCATATTCTTTGAAAAGTTGAATAGTTATCTTGTTTAACAAAATTGACCAACTGACAAAATTTGAAGGGAATGCCCTGGCGCAGACATATCTAGGTCTTGATCTCAGTGATGGAAATTTTTGGCACCCAAAGGCCAAAATGATTGTTTTCAAGAACTCTTAGGCTATAATAATTCTGTTTATACTAGGAAATTGAAGTATTAAAATTATGTGACAGTGTAAATAGAGAAATTACATTCGAATATTTCCCTCCCATACATTAACTTTCTGGTTTGTCATTTGTACAGAAAGAACTTTAAAGTTGCTGATCATCATTTGATGGAAACTGAATCCCTTACAAACTACAATATTGTGAAAGTTGTATTTCAGTCCAAAAAACATATCAGCGTCACCTGTAAGTGTTGGGTTAAATATTTTAGTGACCGTCTTTATAATCTAATTGAATCCAAGTAGGGATATTTTGTTTTTGTTTTCTTAATAAAATGTTAAATAATCAATTTGAGTACTTTGTAGTGTTTATTAAGCCGTGAAAATTTCTATGTTGTCTGAAAAATGCAAATGAGGATCAGTGGCTTTAAAGATAATATACATTTTAATTGTTATATCTATCAAATTTACTAAGTTTATTATCTTATCAAGTGTTTGGTTACTTAGCAATCACTGAAGAGTTTTTCACTTGTTTTTTTTTTCTTTCGAGAAAATGATAATGCATGTAACCAATATTGTACCTTTGTATATAATTCATCTTAAATAACCTACTAAAAAAAAATATTGAAGACAGTTTGATCTTATTCTTTGGTTTATCAGTTCATCAAGTAAAGAGATTTATGTCATCACTTCAGTCCATCAAAAAGGATTAAAGCAGAAGAAACTTACACAAATATATTCTCATGAAGTGAAATCTGTGATGGACACATACTCAAGTCTTAACATACATACTTTTTACCATGGCCAGATTTAATTATACCTGTCTGTGATTAAATGGGGTCTAGTGTAGGGGTGTGCAAAAGCTTAGGAGTTGAATAACTCTGGGCTCTGGGTAATTATGTATAAATCCTGGACCAGATAATAAATCATGAATGGGTATAACAGGTCCTGTGTTCACATAGCATTTTCAGACTTAAGTTAAGAATTTACTCAACTTTCAATCACAGTTTATAAAAAAATATCTTTGATCCAGAAACACAAAACTTTGCACATAATTTCTTATTGATATATTTGATATATTAAAACAACAAAAGTTTTATAAAGGTCTATACATAGGTTAAAATAAGGCGAACAAGTTTGAGTAAATTCGTAAGTCAAGTCTGAGAATGCTTTGTGATACATAATTCTGTGGAAATTATTTGGGACTTAAATTTTGGGAGAAATTGATACATGTGTTTAAGATCCGGTATCGACAAGATCGATTCAAAGTAATTATTGATCGAATTAGTGGTACCATTCTTTAGCGATAATCAATTCGAAACTCTGTCCATTTTTCAGCCCTTGGTTGTATTCGGTAGGATACTGCTTTTCAAGTTGTTATTCGAAATAAAACTCCCACTGTTTAGGTATATAGCTATGGTTATCTAGGGATTTTTCGCCAATGTAAATTGAAAGCAATGAATTTAATGCTCACCAGCATTTTGAAATGTGGCAAGAATGTCATTCTATGATGCAAGATAAAATATTGTCCAAAATGTCACAAAGGTTTGTCATGGATGGCGGTCAATAAATCACCAATTATCCAATGATATTCAATTTTGTTTCTAGTCAAAAAAAACGCAGTAAGTTTGAAAACAGTTTTGCTAGATTTTGGTGACAGGGTGCTCTCTGAATTTGGATGGGGTTTCTCCTCAAGAACAGCCGAACAATACCATCAAGTTTAACTCTGATCTGCAGAGGGTTTACACGAATTGTTCATGGATTGGAGATGGCAGCAATGAAATGGGATGTATAAAAAAAGACTATATGTTTCAGATTGAAATACACACTGTGATCATAATCCTTTCGCAATAACTAAACACAACAATTCTGTCTTTCTAACTCCTGATCGGCTTCTTTTTCCTCAATAGTCAGAGAGAGAGAAATGGGGTTTAATGTCCACTCACAAACTAGGTCATTTCGGGAACAACATATGGTTCAATTTTATTTCAATAATTCGCTTGCACATGGGGTCTTTAGCAGGTGAGGACCTGGAGAAAACCCACAAGGTTAGACGGGTGGCCCTACTCCTTGTCACGGACAACAGGATAATCATAACCCTGCCAGTTGACTATCACAGACCTTATGATACAGTGCACACATGCTAACCATTCGGCCATTCCCCCACTCTCAATAGTCCAATTCATCTCCATGACTATTCCAGTATTAATAAACCAGATAACTTCTGGTCGATTATTTCATACATATTAATAAACCAGGTAACTTCTGGTCGTTTATTGGATATATATTAAAACACAACCCACAATACTACAGAAAACAATTTGACAATCATTAATTTATTCCGATAGTTTTGCAATTAAATTATGACGAGTGCATGCATATGTCAAGATATTATAAATTCATTATGAAATACAGATATTATAGTCATATTGCACAATGCATATTTTATTCTTCTTCTTGTTCATTTCATATAAAATAAATCACTGAAAATACATGATAATGGACATATTGCCAGGGTAAATCTAATCTAATTTGGTGGAGGGTGGAACTGATCTTCACACTACATTGTCATCTAATCTCTCTTTCACCACAGTAATTCCAGTACTCTATATATCAACCTGTCGTACTAAAACCCCTCTGGTCCCCTTTACTCTTATAAATTTGGATTTACAAATTCCTGTAATTCATCACAAAAAGATGCTCTATTAACCAATACAAACAATTTTATTGGTGGTTAAGCTTGTGTGATCTTATCCAATGGTCCAATGTCTGTCATTGGGTCAAGTGTCATGGTTTTGAAATCCAGGCTTTCGTGTGACGAGGAGTAGAGTCACTTGCATAAACTCCTGGGTTTTCTCTGGGTCCTCTGGTTTTCTAAAACTTAAAGACCCCCCATATGCAAGCTTATAATTAACCAAAAATATATCATCTGTCATCACGAAATAACCTAGTATTTTTTAAATGGATGGTATAATTACCGGTACTGACAGTATGTCCATCATGAAATAAGCTACATGTATAACAATGATAAAAGTAAAGAGTATACTAATCATGCAAGATATATATTTTATATTTTACAATTTTGGCATTTCTGATGACAATAAGAAATATATGGTGTAACAAGATGAAGTTAAAAAAAAATATAAATGGTTAACAATTTTTGTTGTAGATGAATAATAACAATCATTATGAATAGATATATTATTACTAACCGATCAGTCAGATAATACTAAATGGTAAAATCTAAACCACTAATATATGTTTACTATGGCTACATAGATAGTATGGCAATAACAGAGTTTGAACTTTGAAGCGAGGAAAATGATGATATATCTTGCCCTAGTTTAAGTGAGAAGTGCTTCCAATATACAATTTACAATGTTAAAAATTTGTATTGCTTAAGTGATGAACTTCTAGTGTAAGCCTTTCTCTTGGGTTACACACGTTGAGATGTTGAACCAACATATGTTAATACAGCTTTTCCACTGGTTGAAAGAGAACTAAAATCTGTATCAGTATTTCAGCTGAAAGCCAATGGAAAGGCAACATTTTTAAAATATTTAGTTTTCATGTTTTGTGAATTACGTCCCAGATAGGTGCAAAGTAAGATATTTGGCTTACATTTTAATTATGCTAAAAATGCTTGTGATTCCTGGATATATTAATTTTATGCAGCAGTTTGTTTGTGAAATAAACTATTTCATATAAATTTCTTGCTATTTTTTATTTGAAACTACTTTAATTGATTAAATATTCCTCTATTATAACTAACAGGTCTGATCATAAAAAAAGATAGGCCAATACAATTACACTGATTCAACAATGAACGTTGAAAATAAAAAAATCTCTTCTGGGATTAGCAGTCGGGTCAGTCCTCTACCATAAGTAATGCATATTAGGTACAAATCCTTTTAAAGCCGCTGATCATCATTTGAAGGATTTTGAATTTCGTTTAAACCACAATATTGTGAAATTTCAATCTCTGAAAGGAATATCAGCCCAAAAATGGTTCTGTTCAGTATTTACACAGATATTATGATCAACTAAAAATTTGATACGAACGCGCTAACATCACCTATTATTGTTCAATAAATTTTTTAATGTACTTTCTTTTAAATCTGATTGAACTCAAGCCTGTAGAATATCTACGATTGAAATTTTCATACAGTTTTCTTAATGAAATGTTAAATGATCAATTTCAGTACATTTTATCATGGATAAAGTTGTGAAAAGTTAGATATTGTCCCAAAATAACGATCAGCAGCTTAAGAGTTATAACAAGGGTTTTGTTTCATTGACCTGTATAAAATACAATACATACTTCATTATATTTATAGTTTTGGCAGACTGGATACAGCAGTTTATGTGGTAAAACCTAGACTTTACAATAGGTCACAGTTTCCCCTTTATACACACTAAACATATAATTTATCTAGAGGTTACAGTACTCAGTTTAAAAACACAGATTATCCAGAAATATTCTTAAAAATATACTGTAAAGCAAAACTATTGTAACAGTTTGGCATGTTACGTTTTCATATGGTACCTATTTTATAATTAGTATAAACTTTTGATTTAGTATTTGTTATAAACTTAAAAATATGTTGAGGTATAGGTCCCGATTTATTTGTGAGTAAATTGTAACTAAAAATAGCAAAGTACCTAGCCAACCTGAGACACTGCCGCCGTGAAAAATAGGTACCTGTAAAGACATTGGGAATTGGGAATGATTGCAGAATATTGTTAATATTTTTTTGAACACTGAAACAAATATTTTTAGCATGACTACAAGCTAAGTTTAAACTGTCAAATTTATACTAAACTTTAGAAGTTGTATGGTTTGCTACCTGGTAGTCTAAACAATTTAACAGCTTCAATCTAGATCAAATCCGAGAACTGGATCAGATTACCAGATTTCTGAAAAAAAGTTGACAATGTGAATCTAGCATAAGTCTCTATATGTGAGTTATTCTGGCATATTGTCCCTTTAACAAGACTACATTTTATAAACAAGTAAACTAAAGCCAGATACACACTGATTCAAATAAACAGGTTTAGGATTTACCATGTACTAGAAACTGCATACTGTGAAATGTTTAAGAAACAACTGTTTAAAAACATCAAATGATCTCAAAATGGTGTGAAATAGACTAAATTGAAGCTTGTTGCACTTTTTTTTATTAATTTTGAACATGCAACACCTTTCAGTCCACATATCAATAAGAATTTTCTCAGATTCAGAGGACAGAGTAACTTCGATGGAAGTTGCCAATTTTGAAAATCACCGGATACTGATTGAGGTAAACGATAAACACTAAACAAACACACCTATTTAGAGTTTATTATTTAGATAAACAATATTTTATCATCACCACAAATTGATATGAAACACATCAGCTACATGTGTATAGTTTATCTGAACCAATGTGTGCTCGGCTTTCTGGATAATCTTCAATGATGACAAACTTCTATTACTTCAAACAAATAATGAGGTAGATGATGTTCTATCAGCAATATGGTAAATATACAGATAACACATCTTTTACTGTGAGTTCAGAACTTCAGAGTTAACCCTTTAGCATTTAGTACACGTAAATATTAACCCCCAGTTCCTTGAAGAAAATTACCGAAAAATGATATATTAATACCAGTACATCCCTGAACACACCGAAAAATTCCCGAACTGTTGTTCCTTAGAAAGCGCAAGAAATGTGATTACCTTTCAATATCATAGGCCCATTTTGCATGCACCACAGATATAGAAGTTTGGGAGAGTCTTAAGTATCCCTAGTTAATGCAAAAGGGTTAATCTTGAAATCAACAGCAGCCTAATCAATGTATAGCTCCTGGTAAGCAGTGGATGTATATTTATGCAAGTTCAATTTTATGCAATATTTTGTATTTCAATACAACTCCATGTTTTAATTCCACGTACAGTAATACACAGTGTAAATTGCGGATTTTAAATACAAATTTCCAGCTAAAAGATTCTGAGAAGAGCTACATAAGTGTTCATGAGGAACTAAACTTCAAATTGGTGTGGCCTAAATAGACATTTTCTTGAAGGTGCATTCCTACAATTTTTTTAACCATTATATATGTAAATATTTAGAAAAAGACGATGAATATATATATATCTTATAGAATATTACAAAATCATCACAAGAATATTAGGTCAAATTTCTTATTACTGAGAAATAGATTTCATATTAATACTTTTAAAGCTAAATTAATATATATATATAATATGTAAAGCTCAAAATATTTGTATTATATAAAGATAGATATTATAGACCTGTTGCCTTAAAGCAGTTGATCACCAATTTACAGATTCTGAATCTCTTTCAAACTACAATATCGTCAAAGTTGAATCAGGTTTAAAACGGTTAGATTCCGATCAGAGTTAATAAAGATACCATGAATTGAAAATTTCCCAACATTCAGATCCTCCATAGACTATATAAACAAGCCAGCAGCACCTACTATTGTTGGATAAAATCTTTTGTTGGGCCTCTTTTTAATCTGAATGAATCCAAGCTGGTAGATTTTCTAATGTTAATAGTTTAGTTTTGAGTATATTGTAGCGTGTAATTGTCCAAAAAATGCAAATGACGATCAGCGGATTTAAATATGGGCTAAACCTCTTTGATTTAGGACAAAATAAAGTATTGATGTGTGATTTTGATTAGCGATGGGACCAGATATATACGATGGTTTTAAAATATTAAACAGAGTTCGGTTTGTTTACTATATTAATTTTATTTTTGGCTTACTGTGATAATTTATATCTCAACATTGACCTTATTTTTGAATTTGTGACAGATTGGCATCCCATAAAACAAATCAACACATAAAATCCTATAAAATCGACAATTTTATGTTTTGTCCCAGATCAAAGAGAGAGAGAGGACCCATCTTAATGTCAGAAACACTGATCACATTAATATTAAAGCTTCCACGATACTCCTTCAGGTATTTTATTTTTGTGATACTTGTAACAGATGGTTTGGGGGGTATGTGACGAGAATACAATATCAGAACCAAAAACCTGCTTTCGTACAACTGGAGTTTTGCTCAATTACCAATTGCTAATTCTGCCATTCAATGAAAAAATATAATTCAAAATAGAATCAATATTTTCCAGTCCCAAAAAAGCTACAGAATTTTAAGCATCGCATAGATTACAAGTTTGCGAAATTGTCAAGTAAAAAAAAATTTATGGCCTCGGTGCTTTTTGCCAAATTGTGATCATGTGTGTAGTAGTGGTTGACAATATACGTGAATTTCAACTAAATTACAGTGTTCAATTGATCCTCCATACTTATAGACTTTATAAACAACATTTCTCTCATTGTGATAAAAAAAAACTTCTTTATAACAAACGGAATATCTGATAACCATTATTTGTCACATGGTTTTGTCTTGACCCGGGACTCTTGCTTTAAATGTTTTATCTTGCATAGCAGCAACCATCTTGAACAAAACAATGTCGGCAGCCACAGACTTCTTGGTGATATTTTGTTGTACGCTTAGCTCAGTAAAGTCTATAAATGTATCTCCACAACATTTCTTCCGGTATTGCAAAGGTACAGACAGCACATGGTTTTTTGACTATATAAATGTTAAACCGCTATAAGTCTTTTATCTGCTAGCTGGCCATGATATTTCTATATTCTCTTTGATCAGCAAGCATCTTTAAAAACACTTTAAATTTCTTTTCATGATACCTTGAAAATACAATAAAATTATCAAGATTAGTGTGTACATAATTATTGCAACATTTTCTAAGGGACATAATTGAAGTTATATATCTGGACCAGGGGTCTTAAACATACATTATGCAGGAGCTAAATCTGCCTATTACAGATCTTTCTTTAGGCCTGAACTGTTATATAAATTATTAATTAGACATTAATTAACTTATCCAGACCATAACCGATTCTCGATGTCATTGCTAGCCTGCGATATTTACTGGATTAGGATCCGATTTTCTGCTCAACTTTCATTCATGATTAAATCATGAAATGGATAATCGAGACTATTCTGTTTATCGTATTGACTTTAGTAATGATGATCGAGGCTAGGCTGAAAATTCATTCGCTAAATTCTTGGTTCAGAGTGGATCAATTTGACTGAAATTTTCAGCAAATCCCCTTTACATTATCTAGTGTTTAACTATTATAGTGAGAACTGCCAGCTCTTTATCTAATCTCCCATAATGTATCTTTAATCCATTTTGAAATGAACTGGCCAGAAATGGATCAAATGAGGTCCTGGTAGCCAATAGGGTAATCATAAGCTTCCATTCCCTTTCATATAACCAGACTTCAACAAAAATAATTCTTGGTAATTTGTTATGGAGAATGTTGTATTCTAAATAGGCTAATATATGTGATTACCACAAAAAAAAACAACAAATAGGTACACCTTTCTGAAAATTGTCCATATTTAATTCATGTACCAGCTTGAAGGTCACATCAGTAAAATATCTGAATAAATTACTGTCTGCGTTTATTCGATTGATAACGCAAAACATTTGTAATAAGATATATATCATCAGTGGATTGAAATTAGGATTTTTCTACTACGGCCAGTATTAGAAAATTCCGAAGCCAATATAAGCCGATACAGCACCATGACATTTCTTCATATTTAATGTTTTTGTCTATCGCGTAACTTGAAAAATACAATTCTGTACCACTATGCCACAGCCTTCAATAATAACACCAATATTTTTAAATTAAGCTTCTGTCAGCATGTGTATAAAATAATTTCAATAAATAATCCCAACGGTAAACACTATTTAAAATTAAATCAAGCATCGCTGGTTTATTGACCTAATTCCAATCGATGCATGTCACGTGTTATTAGGATCGGCATTGGAGATTCTATCAAAAATATATACTATAAATGACTGTTTCTCAGGATATTTGGTGTTCTATCAGGGGATTATTCAATGACTATTTAAATTTAATTAACAACTGGTCAGTGAAGCCATCAAATGTATGATCCAATTATCATTTTAATTTCTACCTGAAATTCATACGAGGCTTCAAGATGGCACGATTCCCAAGATTCACAATCCATGCCAAGATCGTCTTCATTCGAAACCACATGGCTTATTTTCACAAAGGCAACTTACTGAACTTGTTATAATTAGCAAACTTGTTTTTGGTTTTTTTTCACTCGGATTATGAATCACATGGTCAATTCTCACTAAGGTATGACTGTTATTGTAGCCAACAAGCAAGTTGACTGACTAATTAATTGACAAAACAAGTAGATTTTCCCCTCATAGCCAACTGTCTTCACGGTTGTCCCGATTATAAAAATAAACATACCCCAATCCATTTCATTTGTTTTGCGTATTAAATTTGGAGGTTGTCATGATTACAAAGATAAATAAATAATATGTCAACTTACTGTTTCAGATCCATATCAGGTAAAATAACAGTTCCTAAACCTCCCATCTTCTCCATCGCATCCTATAAATAAATAAATAAATAAATAAATAAATGGGGTTTAGCAGCTTCCACAGCCAAGGCGAAAGAGTTGTAAGGGGAACAAAGTGCTCAAACATTTTTGCGATTTTGAAACTGTTCCACTGTTAAAATTGTTTACAGTTTTATCACTAGCTTTCGGTAGAAGCACTCTTTTGGGGTAAAGTGGGATAAATGAAATAAATGATGTTTAACGTCCTACTTTGCTGCAAAAACTGGTTACATGCAATGCAGTGAGCTATGAGGGACATTTTGCTCTCTTCATAACATTCCAACTGTCAAGGGTTCTTTTACGGGCATACACGAACTTGATTTCTTTCTTGTTCCTGCACTACTGACCAGGGGGAATCAGAGGAACTTTCATGGTCAACACCTATTTGAACCCGTAACCATGTAGTTAGGGACTCAGCACCTTATTTACTGAATGAGTGAACCCAATAGAATAGAAAATGTAGTTTTTAGCACATTTTGTTTAATTGATATAATACCTGTATATTTGAGTAATTTCCTGAAGCACTAGCAGCTAATATAGCTGAACCTAGTAAAACTGATTCTGTATTGTGAGGTAGAATCATTGGTAAGTCTGCAAAACAACAAATTAGAATGAATGGATGGATGGATGGATGAATGAATGAATGAATGATGTTCAGCCTCTCATTTAATATTATCTGTGTCACTTTGAAACTAACATGGTAATTCTTTTCATACATGATGCCAGTGATTACAAAGAACTCAATCAGTATATAGCAATATATATCCTGAGATATCTAAAGTTATTGAATGCAGTGGGTTAGGACATTTTCAAACTAATAAGGTTATTTTTATGTTCTAGGGTTTTGTTGCTATATAAGAGAATAGAGAAATTATCTGACAATCGCATTCAGTCTATTATACATAAAATTGAAACAGAAATATGCCATCAAGAAGGTAAACTACCAGGAATTATCATTTTAAGGGTTTGTTACATAGTGTGAGAGACAGTGATAGGTAAAAGATTATAATTATCCTATGACCGCATGTGTAATAAACTCTCCACTGTTCTCTAATTGACCACACTATTGTTCATTTAATAAAGAACCAGATGCTGCCATATGTATAATGGTCAAGTTAGATAATCCGCTGATCACTAATGACGTTTACTAGCGTTAGCTGTCACACATCAATTGTTCTGAAGCCTGCCATATGCTTATAGTGAGATAATCTATCAATGACAAATGATTTAATTATATAGTCTTTACATAAGTCCTTTTGTTCCATATTATTAATTACCCGTGTTATCAAAGTGAATTTAGTATAAATTGGCTTTGGTTTTTCATGTAAATGAGACCAGCTTTGGCGGCTGACCAGGTACGACTTTATAGTATATCTAGTATGCTAGAATAAAATGTTGCATCCATATCATGTTTTATTTCTATTAACTCAAACTATGTTATAGGTTTTTATTAATAGAGGAAATGAAATGAAATGAAATTGGGTTTAATGTCCTACTGTTCTGCTCCTAACCTGGGCTAATGAAGACGGGCATACGCCATACAGTGTGCTATGAGGGGAATTTTGCCCGAGCAGCGGTGCTACGGCCTACTCTTATCTCGAATTCCAACTGCCAAGGGATCTTTTACGTGCATGCCAATGTGTACACGAGACCTCGGTTTTTCGTCCCATTCGAACGACTAGACAGCTGTCCTTGTCAGGCCCTCCGTCCTGTATCACTGACAAGGGGAAACCACGCCAGAAAATCTGGATGAACTTTCTCGGCCAATGCAGGGATCGAACACCCGACTTAATAGAGGAGATTTAAAGAAAATATTGAAATACTTACTGGTGATATCAGCATTAGTTTGAACAAATAGATTATTTTTACTTAAACCACCACATACTGATAAATAACATACATCATGACCACTAGTGTTCATTTCATCTACTATATGACGAGTACCATACTGAAATATATATAATATATTATCTACTATATGGCAAGTACTGAAATATATATAACATATTATCTACTATATGACAAGTACTGAAATATATGTAACATATTATCTACTATATGGCGAGTACCATACTGAAATATATATAACATATTATCTACAATATGGCAAGTACTGAAATATATATAACATATTATCTACTATATGACAAGTACTGAAATATATGTAACATATTATCTACTATATGGCGAGTACCATACTGAAATATATATAACTTATGTTTTAACCACACTATATATTTTCTAAAATCAAAGTATATACTAATATTTTGAGGAATTCACAATATCTATTTCAAGTCTTTTGAGGGATTTGAAATTCCTTGTAAACTAGCTAGGTGTGAAATTCCTTGTAAACTAGCTAGGATTATATGTGAATGGAGAATGTTTTGGAAGTACTTACTGCAAGGGACTGTATAGTTGCTAGGTATTAGTATTTACTACAAGAGATTGTATAGCTACAAGGTATTTTAAAGTATTTACTTGCAAGAGACTATTATTTTAAAGTACTTACTGCAAGGGACTGTATAGTTGCTAGGTATTTTAAAGCCAAGTTTTCTATACTAGATGATAAAGTTAAACCACTCAACTGTAAACAATATAAAAACTTACATATTATACATATCATGATGGATCATGTGGCTAAATGACTTATCACAAACATCACATTTTCAAGGTCTACATTTATCTCAACATCTGTTTATATATTTCAGGAATTCATTTACATAAATACAAGTTCTCATGTTACATATCTAAGATTTTACAATTACTGTACGCTCAACTAAATAATGTCTATTTACAAATAGTAACTAATGGTTTTCTCGATCTATGGACAAAGGCAAAGATTTTGTACTGTGAATGCTGCTCCTTCAATCATTCCTATCTCCATGGAATAGAATTTCAGTCATTACTTTTTCATAACCAGATATAGTTTGCAGGATAATTATCCACGAAAGATCTTAAAATATCTTTCAAAATTTTGCAGACCATGAGTCAATTTTAAAAGATCTTTAAAAAATTTGCAGATAAGGAGTCAATTTATAATTTTTCAGCGCAGCAATCAATAAAGATGCTTTTATTTTTATTTTCTTAACATAAAACCCGGTCATGTGCCTGTTTTCAAGTGACTCAGTTGTAATAGTTATTTTATATGGCCTCAACACTGTAACCGACACTTACCATTCCCTTTAATGTCCAATCAGCAACTGGAGATCTGTTACCATGGTAATCAGGCCACATATGATAATCCGTAGTTAATTCTGCTATAGAATGTTTGCCTTCCGTTTCAGCCATATCATCTAACAGTTCATTTAAGAAAGTATGCATATGTACATCCCTAGAAACAAAGAAAATACATATACAAAACTATGATTTCGATATAATGGGTATACCAGTAGAATTTTTAGTATAGACTTGAACTCTTTACATGTTATTTTGGTTCGTTTTTAATAGTTTACTCAATTCAGTCAAAATTCACTTCAGTGATCCTGACATGACCTCCCACACAAACCAGTCAGATCTATATTGAGTTGAGGAAGGCCATCGAATGTATAAATAAACAAACTTTAGATATGTACTTTGATGAGACTGGATTATAATTTATCTTGATATTCTAAGATTCTCTTAAATACACTTAAAACATAATTAATCATATTTAATATGATATATTGTTATTAAAACAAACCTTTCTTTGGATTTTTCTTCTGCTTCTTTATAAGCTGGATGACTTTCAATGATAAAATCAATCTAGAAATAAAAAAAAACATCATCAAATTCAGAAGACAGGTTAGGATAGAAAGTTGGTTTAATGTCGCTTCAACACACGGTGGCCATATAAAAATATTATTAGAAAGAGAGCAATAGATTTTAAAAAGTCCACTTAACACAAACTATATCATTTCAGACCTAACATATGTTACATTTTTATTTCAGTAATTTGCTTGTATGCTTACAAGTATAAAACTGAAGGACTCATAGAAAAATCCTTAACAATTACAAGCCTGGGGTAGGAACTAAGCCATTTGACAAAATGACAGAACATTATGGTCATGTGGTAGATTAATCAACCACATACACCATCCCCACCCACGAAATATTATCACATACACCATCCCCACCGACGAAAAATATTATAAGAGGTAATCCAACAAGTAAATAAACAATGATGAGAATATTTACCAGTTTCCCTGATGAACTTTGACCTCCTTCATTTAGCCACATATGAGGAATCATTGCTGAATAGTACGGACCCCAAACGCCATTTACAAATATAGGATCTGGACTAGCCTGAAAGAGAAAAAAGTTCATTCTTAGTTCCAATACTAAAACATGTCATTAATAAACAGCAGTTAATAATTCAAAGAGATTTCTGACATACTGTTACCTGTAGCCAGTGCTCGATTAAGATGCATGGGGAGGCCCAGGCACACGTAAGTAAATTGTACGCACACAAAACCTCGATTATTTGTACCATCTGAACGATCAGACACATTTTCTTGCTAGGCCCTTCATTCTGAGAACGTTTTTGACAAAAACCAGGCTCGAACCCGGGACCTCCTGCTTATTGAGCCAGCACCATACTCGCTTAGCAACCACAGCTCCCAGTTGTTATTAAGATAAAACTTACCACCATATGACAGGTTGAGGTACCAGCTATTATAGCCATACGACACATATAACTACTAGATGATATAGGAAAATCTGGATCTTCAGGATTACATGCCAAACAACCTAAACAAATACAACAATTATCATCACAGATAGAGGGAGGTAACAACCATAATAACATCACAGATAAAGGGAGGTAACTTCTGTAGCAGACGCTTTGCTACGTAAAGCAAGACTGTTAGCTATGAAATTTCTTAAGATATAAGTGATACATGGTGTTCTAGGTAGAGTAAGAATATGTTACTGGCTTGCAGTACTACTTATATTTAAATAGAGAGACAGTTTTGACTTGGGTTTCAGAAGCCTAGGCTACTTTGTACAAGATGACGCATAAGATTGTAAACTTCAGCACATTTCAAATGCCCACATTATTATTTTCAAAACCATAACACTAATTTTTCAATGTCTTCACAATTTAGGTCAATTATACCTCTTCAACATATATAGGTACAATAGTATTTTCCACAGTTATACGTGACCAAAATTGCTTGGGATCCATTTTTCATATTAAATGCCTTAAAACAAATAAATTTTTCCAAGCTCAATTTCAAGCATGGATATGTTTGAACTACACCATATTACTATAAAACTCAACGGCTTGCATATATTATTGTATACAATGGTATTATTGTCTTATGGGAATCATGCAAATTAATGCTAGAGATTACTAAACTTGGTTAAAGGGAAATCCAGTATTCCAATGCTATAGATAATCAGCATGTCACACATGTACTCAGTCTTTTGGTTTATCCAAAACAGGATCAACATTCAAAATTTTGAAGTGTTAGCTCAGGTTAAGACTCTAGTTTATAATATAATGAATACAGCAAATTACCTAATCCACCAGCATGAGCATCTAATATAGATTGAGCAACTGTTATAGCAGGATTTAACCCCAACTCTCTAGCTGTTGAAGGTAATAATCCTCCACACCATTCACCTGGTGCACGTACTTCACTACCTGAAAATAATCAATTTAATACATCACAGTAAATAATTTTAACTAGGACCACCTGTCAACAATATCATTATTCACATTCTATTTCTAAAACATATATCTTCCACAGATTGAAATTTGATGAAAAGGTATATATATCCCAGTAGATGCGGAAGACCACCATGACTCCCTGGTTTAAACTTTAAATTACTGTCTGAACCGTCGTAAATTTTAAATGGATTTCTTCAATTATGAAGAAACTACTTAACTTTGGTTATTATAAACTTACCTGTGTATTTGAAATCAACTCCCGTTGAATAATATCCTATGCGCAATTAAAATATTCCAACGATTAAAAGAGTTCTCTCTTGAAAAAATTGACGTATTTACTTATTTTCGACCGAGTGCAACACAACATTGCTTACGTCCCATGTTGGGCAAAACCCCCCAAAAAATATTGTGGAGGTGGTTTAATTTTGACAGAGTTTGACAATCACGTATTAATATCAAAACAAAGCGCGATCATTTCGATCGTTTGAGTTTGGGCATGCTGTCACTCCTTTATACAAAATGATCTCTCCCGAAGAGTGACGTAACCAGCTTCCATTTTGGTATAGCTCATGTCAGAAGTATGTGGGAATCCAATTTTTCAAGAGAGAACGTTTTTATTCTTTGGAATATTTAATTGTGCAATGGATTTTATTTACCGGGAGTTGACTTCAAACACACAGATAAGTTTATAATAACCAAAGTTAAGTGAGAGAGAGAGAGAAATGGGGTTTAACGTCCACTAGACACAAACTAGGTCATTTCGGGACTAACATATGGTTTAATTCTATTTACATAATTCGCTTGCGCGTAGGGGTCTTTAGCAGTGGGAGGAAACCTGAGGACCCGGAGAAAACCCACGAGGTTGGACAGGCGACCCTACTCCTTGCCACGTACAACCGGGAATTCGAAACCACGCCAGTCGACTCAATGACAGACTTTATGATACAGCGCGCGCACGCTAACCATTCAGCCATCCACCACCCCCCCCCCCCAAAGTTAAGTAGTTTGTTCGTAATCGAAGAAATCCGTTTAATAATTACGACGGTTCAGACAGTAACTGATTTTTCTACACCAGCAAGGATAAACCCCATTAACCTGATGATTAATTTTTAAAAAGTCTTGAATTGTTTTTGTCAATATCTATTTGTGTTCAATAATATTTTTCCTCACCAAAACAATATGATGAAATATTGTGTTGTGTGTTTGGTTAAAATCTTAATTTTCAAGAGTATCCACATTCTATTGCTCGTTATAATATAGACAAGCCAACAGTGAGGCTGATGTCCCCCGCCGAAATTGCAAAATAAATAGATGACACATATTAATTAATCGCACATTTATTTTTTTCACTAAGTTTCATCACTCTCTATCAGATAGAATCAAGATTATCTTGTCCCAAACCATCGACAAATGAAATCGATTAGCTCTGCTTAGCTTCAGCTCGAAATGTTAATTATTGAACTCAGTCAAGACATTCACCTAATGAACATCTACATATACATCAAGTTTAAACATTCACCTAATAGACACCTATGCCAAGTTTGAACATTCTACTTCAATTAGAAGGAGAGTTATTGTGTTCCAAAGTTTCTACCAATCAAATTGCTTATCACTCTGCTTACCCTCAGCAAAAAATGTTCATTATCGAACTTAGTTAAGGTATTCATATAATAAATCTATACACCAAGTTTCATCAATCTCACTTAATTAGAACTAAAGTTATCGTGTCCCAAAGCATCAACCAATCAAATTGCTTATCTCTGCTTACCCTAAGCGGAAAATGCTCATCTTCGAACTCCATCAAGGCATTGACCTAATCAACACATACACCAAGTTTGAACATTCTAGCTCAATTAGGAAGAGAGTTATCGTGCCCCAAAGTATCAACCAATCAAATTGCTTATCTCTGCTTACCCTAAGCGGAAAATGCTCATCTTCGAACTCCATCAAGGCATTGACCTAATAAACACATACACCAAGTTTGAACATTCTAGCTCAATTAAAAGTTATCGTGTCCCAAAGCATCAACCAATCAAATTGCTTATCTCTGCTTACCCTAAGCGGAAAATGCTCATCTTCGAACTCCATCAAGGCATTGACCTAATCAACACATACACCAAGTTTGAACATTCTAGCCCAATAAGGAAGAGAGTTATCGTGTCCCAAAGCATCAACCAATCAAATTGCTTATCTCTGCTTACCCTAAGCGGAAAATGCTCATCTTCGAACTCCATCAAGGCATTGACCTAATAAACACATACACCAAGTTTGAACATTCTAGCTTAATTAGAACTAAAGTTATCGTGTCCCAAAGCATCAACCAATCAAATTGCTTATCTCTGCTTACCCTAAGCGGAAAATGCTCATCTTCGAACTCCATCAAGGCATTGACCTAATCAACACATACACCAAGTTTGAACATTCTAGCTCAATTAGGAAGAGAGTTATCGTGCCCCAAAGTATCAACCAATCAAATTGCTTATCTCTGCTTACCCTAAGCGGAAAATGCTCATCTTCGAACTCCATCAAGGCATTGACCTAATAAACACATACACCAAGTTTGAACATTCTAGCTCAATTAAAAGTTATCGTGTCCCAAAGCATCAACCAATCAAATTGCTTATCTCTGCTTACCCTAAGCGGAAAATGCTCATCTTCGAACTCCATCAAGGCATTGACCTAATCAACACATACACCAAGTTTGAACATTCTAGCCCAATTAGGAAGAGAGTTATCGTGTCCCAAAGCATCAACCAATCAAATTGCTTATCTCTGCTTACCCTAAGCGGAAAATGCTCATCTTCGAACTCCATCAAGGCATTGACCTAATAAACACATACACCAAGTTTGAACATTCTAGCTCAATTAGGAAGAGAGTTATTGTGTCCCAAAAAGTGTGACGGACAGACAGACGGACGGACAGACGGACGGACAGACGGACAGACAGACAGACAGACAGACGGACGAACCCATTTTAATAGTCCCCTGCTTTCTTCGAAAGGCGGGGGACAAAAATATTGTACATAATAAACATACTAACCTATTTTATAATAATTATTTTCTATCAGATCACCTAAACCTACACTTTTTAAAAAGCTTTCACTCCATTCTTGTTTACCATTATCATCAGCTTGAAAACCCCATTTACATACTACAGAACACAAAGACCTAAAATATAATAAACATAACCCCATTTACATATTACAGAACACAGAGAACTAAAATATAATAAACATAGCCCCATTTACATACTACAGAACACAGAGAACTAAAATATAATAAACATAGCCCCATTTACATACTACAGAACACAGAGGACTAAAATATAATAAACATAGCCCCATTTACATATTACAGAACACAGAGACCTAAAATATAATACATGTAAACACGATTCCATTAACATATTACAGAACACAGAGACCTAAAATATTATAAACATAACCACATTTACATACTACAGAACACAAAGATACCTAAAATTACAATAAACATAACCCCATTTACATACTACAGAAGATAGAGACTTAAAATGTAATAAATACAGCTCCATTTGCATAAATTAGAAGCATAAGCCTTAAACATAACCCCATCTGCATAAAACAGAAGCATATTGCTGAACAACATGCAATAACCGAAGTATGGTAAAGTGAGGTTGTTTGGATTGATATGAACAAGGTTCTTTTTATTATGTGTAATAGAACTGTTTGATATAGCTAGATCATCATGTCCTCGCAACAAACACAACATCTGACGATCTTTGTATATTTCTCATAGCTTGTTGAGCAGGGATTTTTAATTCAATATTACAAAATGAGAACATATGTTTAACTATTACCTTGTTAAACTACCTGTTGCCTTCCATGTTAAAAAATCTGGAAGTTCAAAAAAATGACCAGCTTTATCCCAGCATTGTTCTTTTAAATTCTGAAAAAGGGAATGGATTTATGAAGAAGGGTTACGCCATGTGGTGTGCTATGGGTGAAATTAATGTTGATTTGAATCATTAATTAAAGAGGGTAACAATAATAACTTTATTATCTGGAAAGACATATAGAAAATGACTGTACTAAGCTCAGATTATTAGCTACTCAGCACTCAAGGAGAGAGAGAGAGAGAGAGAGAGAGAGAGAGAGAGAGAGAGTTTAATGACCACAAACTAGGTCATTTCAGGACTAACACATGGTTAAAGTTCATTTCAATAATTCGCTTGCGCGTAGGGGTCTTTTGCAGTGGGAGGAAACTGGAGGACCCAGAGAAAACCCACAAGGTTGGACAGGCGACCCTACTCCTTGTCACATACAACCGGGGAATCGAAACCCCGCATGTTGACTCAATGACAGACCGTATGATACAGCGCACACGTGCTAACCATTTGCCCATCCAACCCTCCTCAACAAGATAGAAGGTTCAATTTGCCACAAAACAGAACTTCCTTTTATCAGAATTAGAGGATGTGTATTCATCTATAGATGAACAAGATTTTTCCCCACCAGGCTTGGGCTTAAGACATTATTAAGATCTTACCTCTTTTAACCAAAGTAATTTTGGTGGTTCCATCTCTAAGGACATGGCACCACCAACATATTTTAAAACATCGTGACCAGTAGCATTAATTTTTTCTGTTTGTTTGGTAGCTCTGTGATCCATCCACATTATAACATTACATTCTGGAGCACCTACAAACAATCGTTTACATTGAATCATTCTGGATCAGATTAAGAACTGATGTAATCTACAGGCATAAAGTTTTAGAACTATATCGATTCTACTAACAAATTAACACATAACCATACCTGGACAGAAGACACCTGTCAAAGACTTTGTCAGAAATAAATTATAACACAACATTTTTATTATATACTCTTCAAAAAAAGTAGGGGATATTGAAATGAAAATACATATGCAGGTTGTGATATGATAAATAGTCATGGACACTTGACATGCTTTGAGAGTATGTTCACAGATGAAGAACTTATGGCCCAACAGAAGAACCACTGAGCTGCACATGCCACACGCAATAGCACCATACACGTGGGAGGGGTTCATTGTCAAATTTGACACTTCAAGGAAGGGTTGACGAAAACTGCCGTTTATTTTGATCGGGAGACGTGTTCGTCGACGTCAAAGTCAACCGACAACACTGCAAGAATTGTCCATGGCACTGCAAGAGGAGTGGGTCAGATTGCCCAAAATCGTGATTGGACGGTTGATTAGGAGCATGCCACGACAAATTGCTGAATGTCTAAGGATTTGTGGAGCAATTACTCATTATTAAGACAAAAATCAAAAACGTCCATTTTCACTTTCGACAGTGTATCTCTTTGCGAGTGAAATGGGGCCGTCAGATAAGGCGCCCATATGAACTGTTTATGTTCATATGTACGCAATCGGCCTGTTATTAACATACACTGGTTACCTCTAATAAAAACAGCAGTGTATTTCCGCAGTTTTGTATTGTTTCTGAATATTACCTACTTTTTTTGAAGAGTATAATATATGTATATACTTTGTGTTAATTTGCATCTAACAATGTCTGTTACAGATGCCTGATGTCCAGGCTTGTATACGTTTTGCAATAATTTGTACTTGACAAAGTCCGAGACAGAAGCCTGATCTCCAGACTTGCACATAAGACTTTATTAATTTTTAACCTTCTCAAAGAGAAGATGCCATTGCAAACTTCTGAATATTATACACTTACCTGAAGGAGAGATCGATAATGGTTTATTTTCTTGATCTAAAACTACGAGTGAACAGGTAGCATCAAACCCCACTCCACCTATTGCATGTTTACTGACACCAGCAGTACTTATAGCTTCCTATAATAAATAATAATCATCAATAACTACACAATAAAGAAACACTAACTTCTTATTAATATTATACCAACATTTCCTTCAGCTTTTATTTTCATTTGTTTACCCCACTTTCAGACGTTTACATTTAACTGGTTTAAAAACACTGGTGATCCATAAACCAGTTTAACTTTGTGGTTTGAACGCAAAGTTGGGGGGGGGGGGGGCAAATAAACCAGCTGACAACTTGACGACATGTACCCATATGTAATTATCTCTAACTTTTAACTGACAAGGTCAAAATAGTTATGTGTGAATGCTACACTACCTGTCTTTAAAACACCAGTGTTTTTAAACTAAAGATATGTCTGTATATGATGTTTTCATTAATGCAAATATTGTGAATGGTCAACTCAGATCAACCTACCAATCAAAACCTATGCTACAGATCTCTTTTTTAAGAGGCTTGCATTTAGCCAAAAAGATTATCATAGTAAGAAGTCCTTGCTCTACACACTGGCCTTTAAGTTACTGGTTCAGAATCATTTGAAAAGGATTCAATTTTTATAAGAATCTAACAGTATATACTAACAATTTCACTAGAGTCTTATTCTGTCAGGATGGTTAAAGAGGACGTCAACACTTCTGAGGTTAAATGGGCCAATCAGATACTAGTGTATGTGTGCAATGTTTATGTTTATTGTTGAGCACGTGGATAAGCCTTTTAAATACTTTGTAAAACAAACTTTTGGTGGGTGGCATTTGCCCCCCCATTAATCTGATTTGCCCCCCCAATAATTTTAGAAAATAAAAAAAAGTATTTGTGATACGTTTCGGTAATCAATACCTTCTACGGTGAATAAATCCCACATCCCCACTCAGTCATAAACTTGCATGTTGTAGAGCATTTCCGACAGTCTATTTTTCAAAATTTTCTTGGCGAGGTCCCCAATGGACTCGCTACTTTGGCGCTCACAAGGGGAATTCGTTGAGGTTCGCAAGTCCGTTCGTTTGACATTTTGTTCTCTAGTCGGATAAACTAGTGATCAGGCGACGGACGGTATCTGGTCAAATCTATTTATCTCGACGATCGGTGCCTGGGAATACTGTAAGACAGCATTTCCGGCAGTCTATTTTTCAAAATTTTCTGGGGGAGGACTCCCTACTTTGACGCTTGTGAGTGGGCTTCGTCGTGATTCGCAAGTCCGTTCGTTTGACACTTTACCTCATCGATCAGTACATTTCCGGCAACCTGTTTTTAAAAATTTTCTGGGGGAGGCTCCCTACCCCTAGTTGAAGCTTGTGCCTTTGCCCCCTTAACCTTTGACTTTGCCCCAGCTTTGCCCCTCCAATCACCGACGGCTGGCGCCGCCACTGGGTCTGTCCTCCCTTGGTTAGGACGTTGGAATTTAAATTCCTGCAAATGACTTCGCCAAAAGAATATTATGACAATTTCAACCTTATCAATATAGTTTAAACAAATTGTTCTTCAATTTACAATATTCAGAAATTCTAATTTGTTTGCTATGCTGTTAAACAAACATTGATACATATCATTTTTCTCCTTCATGAAGATATTCAGTCTAATCTACATATCAAGTCACGTACATACTACCTGATCTGATAAGGGCTATCATATCATATATACAGCGGATGTCTACAGTTACATTATTTGTTAGATGGATTAAGACAAAATCTAGAGTATGTCACAAGTCAATCCTACCTACATTGTACAATTATTATAAATGAAATGAACTCAGGTTCAACGTCTTACTTTTCTGCACCAACCGGTATAATAAAGACGGGCATTACGAGGGAAATTTCAGTCACTGTTCTTCAGCATGCACGACTGCACGCCCAAGTCCACAGGGGTGGGACCGCTGTTTTTTATCCCATCCGAATGACTAGGTGCTCTTTTCTTGCAAGGAAATGAAATGAAATGAAATGGAGTTTAACGTCCTACTGTTCTGCTCCTAACCTGGGCTAATGAAGACGGGCATACGCCATACAGTGTGCTATGAGGGAAATTTTGCCCGGACAGCGGCACTGCGGCCTACTCTTATATCAAATTCCAACTGCCAAGGGATCTTTTACGTGCACGCCAATGTGTACACGGGACCTCGGTTTTTCGTCCCATCCGAACGACTAGACAGCTTTCCTTGTCCTTGCAAGGTCCTTCGTCCTTATCGCATCTTACCCAAAAGTGGCTTCCAATATTTGGTCAAAAATATGTTACAACCATATACTGAAGTCCATATAATTGAAGGGCAAGTCTGAATTTTGATAGGGTTTCTCCTTATTCTTAGCAAAAATTCTGACCTCTAGTGTTTTCAAGGTTAAGGTCACTGTGACATTAATGGGGAAAAAAACCTGTGCAAGTTAAGTAGGGATTTTTCAAGACCCGCAACATCATGGACCATAGTGAATCTCAGATGATGACTGCATGTTATAGTCCTTGTGCGTGACAAGGAACAGGGTCGCCTGTCCAACCTTGTGGTTATTCTCCCACTGATAAAGACCTCTACGTGCAAGCGAATCATCGAAATATAACTGAACCATGTTAGTCCCAAAATGACCTAGTTTGTGTTGAGTGGACCTTAAACCTCTCTCTCTCTCTCTCTCTCTCTCTCTCTCTCTCTCTCTCTCTCTTTTGAACTCCTACCTTAATAGAATAAACAACAGCTTCCCAGATATCATCGGAAGACTGTTCATATAAATCTGGTTGAGGTTGATATATCTGTATCTCTTTACATGCTGTAGCAACCATGGTTCCATTTTCACTGACTACTGCTGCCCTCACGCTACCCGAACCAACATCAACAGCAATGTAATAGGTCATTGTTTACTAGTATCCCTTCATCAAATCCATACAAATTATATCCTCGTCTATAAAAAATAAAAACGTCTAGTATCACATCTAGTATAATATAATAATAACTGTACAGTAAAACACAGACAGAACAAATCATAAGAAAAAACAAAGACCAGAAACATACAAATAGCTACAAGGAGAGAATATCGAGATGAAAAAAATAGTTTTACTTTGTGTTCTCATTGGCTTATTTTCGAGCTATAAGTTCACTTCAAATACTACTTATGCACATGAATTCAAAACCGGGTAAACCAATAGTAATCTAGTACCCTTTAGACCTAGGCAGATCTAATAACAACAATATGTAAATAAATAAGCAATGCAGCACAAAATCACAGATTTCTACAATCAGAAAAAGTAGGGTTGTCAAAAAAACGCAGTAGCAGATTGTTACATAAATACGATAAAAATAAAAGTGAAGCAATATGATAAATCCAATCTCAGCTGTATTAAATAGGTTCAAAATCAAAACTGAGAATCAAATAGACATATAACTGATGCAGTTTCATTAAAGTCTTACGTACAAGAAACAGAGCCAAACAGTATACCAAATCAAAACTGGACACCAAATAGACACATATAAGTAACTGTTGGAGTTTCATTAACATCCTATGTACAAGGAACAAAGCCAAACAGTGTACCAACCAAATCAAAACTGGAAACCAAATAGACACGTAACTGTTGCAGTTTCAGTAAAGTCCTATGTACAAGGAACAAAGCCAAACAGTGTACCATATCAAATCGTGACATCAAGGTACATGTATCTTAATACACACGATTCAAAGGTGCTATTTCTCTATATAATGTACAGAGGTCAGAGGCGCTAACAAATTAAAACCCAGATCTATTGCTTCAATTAAAACCAGAATGAATGCAACTTTAGAGAGGAAGAACATTAATCCCTTAACAACACACAAGGGATTTTGTGCAGTAGAAATTTACTTGTTCGGTTTCATAACACCTCAGCAAGTAATTATGACAGTTTTTATCACTCATTTATTAAAAGATTAAAACAGGATTTAAAGGGCCTAGGTTAACATTTAAACTGTCGTGTGGAATGTTTAGGTTATTAATATGTCAGTATTGTTTGAAACCATAGGACAACATTTAATAGAATTTAGTAGACTTTCAAGATCTATGATACCCTCAGGCTAAAAGAGAAAGACACTGATGGTCCTTTGAAGAAATCATAAAACAAGGCAAAATCATAACATTTCATACTGACACGTAAAACACAATAGTTTACACTTGTTCGCCTATACATGTACTTTTACACTTTCAATGTCTAAACATCTGGGGTGTTGGATAGCCGAATGGTTAGCATGTGCACACTGTATCATAAGGTCTGTCATTGAGTCAACTGGCGGGGTTTCAATTCCCCGGTTGTATGTGACAAGGAGTAGGGTCGTGGGTTTTCTCCGGGTCCTCCGGTTTCCTCCCACTGCTAAAGAATTCTACGTGCAAGCGAATTATTGAAATAAAATTCAATCATGTGTTAGTCCCGAAAATACCTAGTTTGTGTTTAGTAGACGTTAAATCCCATTTCTCTCTCTTTTATGTCCATACCAGAAACTGAACTTTTGTTGTACTGTCTGAATAACTAGGTGTTTTTCCTTACCAGGCTCTCTGTCCTGCAGAACTGACATGGGAAAATCAGGATTTAAAATGCTGAGGAAATTTCCCGTTAGTAAGCCAGCTACACACATCATGGCTCCTGTCTCAAATTTTGAATACAATCCAATCAAAACTTAAATCATCTGTACAATCAAATCAGGTCAACTAGTGTTTGGTAAAGATCTCCAAAGCAGAATTATCACAAAAATTTATTGGGAGTTTGCAATGACTAGCATCCACTAAAAATATTCCACTGTGCAATATTTAGTCTAATAACCCCCAACACATATACATGTACATGTATACTGTGTTTATTAAAAAGAAAATGGAACTACTGTGCATTATAAGTCTATATTCACAAGTAAATATTATAGGCAGATATACACCAATCTGTGTATATATCTAAAATGTATTCCTCCTGAATATATATTTTATATGGATAAACTAATAGCACCAGACAATAACTAACGGTCAACATTATTCAATAACCCAAGTGTTATAATTCTTATTCTTAAATTTATTTTGGAGGGGTTTCAGCTACCAGTACTGAAATTGTCCTATGCAGTCTACCATAGGCCTTGCATTTTCAGTGATACTGATAGTATCATAATTCAATGACAAATACAATGAAATAAAGTAACAACAATGTTCAACATTTGTTTGTGAATTCTTTTAAAATCCTATATTAATTATCATGTGAGTGTGACTGTGCGAAAATACTATTACATCTTAGTTTTAAAATCTAAACTGCTTCAAAACTTACCATCACATCAGGATGAGAACTTTCCATTGTACATTTCAAGTTCAACCATTTGTCATTCAATAAATTTAATAATAACAAAACACATTCAACCGCTGTTAAAAATACAGATTTGGAAACAAGAAAAACGAATGTATCCAGGAAGATAATATACAAAATAAGACGATGCATACGTACTTTTATTGAAGACGACACATCAAGCGTCGACTCCTGTTTTTTTTTTTTAAAACGTTGTTTTGGCTTCTGTAATTCTACCCTCGGTAGACATAGTTAAATTATGTCAACAGTGAACAAGGCGTCTTGTGAGGCAGCCGGGCTGTTTCTTGCTTCGTTAACGGTGCATAAGGCCTGTTACTCCGAAAATTGTTGGGTTGCAAGGAAGAACAAAAGGAGTGATGAGGAATTCCACGCTTGATTGGCGATGCCTGTAAATGTCAGTGTTTAATATAGGTCACTAATTATGTTACGGTTTCATCTCCTTGCACGTGTTTCCCTCGCAATTGTATGCGGTACCACGCCCCCTTCAATGGCCTTGCAATGCAAGGGTGAATAACTCGTCAAAGCTCACGGCTTGCGAGGTCACAATAATATAACGGGACTGTAATTATAACGCGCTTTAAGAAAACTGTTTGAAACAAATATTTAGTGGCGGGGCCTCAACATGAGACAAAAGACGTTTTCAAAATTTAATATGTTTTTTCCGTAAGAATAAAGACAAATATACCTGCATAAATCTACCATTTGGCCTAGTTATTTTGTTCTTTTTAGTTGTTAAATAAAACATTCACTCGTGATCCATTTGAACTTCCAAAGTAGACTAGATGTGGTACCAGGTGCTTTATAAAGAGAAGTGCAAGACACCAATCGTTACACTTACAGCCAAATTAATAGCCGAGTGGCAATTTTTGCTTTGATTTAAGAAACCACAGTTAAGATAACCTGGGGCAATTCATTTACCGGACAATGACTTGTTATTTATGTAAACTCTTCAAGCAAATTAGGAGTGGTGTCAGGTGTTCTAGATATATATGAAATACAAGATATCTAATGAAATCAACACACCGGTCGTGTCCATTTGAATTAAGGGATCGTGATGTTTTTGTGGTTAGACCAGATTCGAATCTCCAGGGTTGGAATCCCGGCATCATGGGCGGAGAAAAACCAGATTCTCGCAAGAGTAACGCCTGCAGGGTCGACAAGTAGAATGTACATGTGTGTAGTCGTTCGAATGGCACAAAAAACCGTGACCCAGTGTAGAAATTGATAGTGCCTAACCGTATAATCGCCCCCGCATTGCAAACGTAACCAAACTAAGAACTACGGTTTGTTAGTCTCAAAACAACGTGTCGACGAGACTTTAACCCAACTATTATTCTGGAATAATATTTAAATTAATAAATATAAGAAATGAAACGTCCTATACTGTTCTGCTCCGACTGGGCTAATAAAGACGGGCATACGCCATATACAGTGTGCTATATATCGACTTCCGACTGCCGAGGGATCTTTCACGTGCACACGGGGCCTCGTTTTTTTTTGTCACATCCGCCGAACGACTAGACAGTTGTCCTTGTCAGGCCCCTCGTCCTGCACCACTGACACGAGGAAACCAGGCCGGAAAACCCGATGAACTTTCTCGGCCAACACCGGGATCGAACCCGCGACCCCAGGCTATCAAGCCAACGTCTTACTTACTTAGCCACCGCGGCTCCCAGTTAATAAATTACATAGCATATATTTCGTATTGGCCTATATATATTGCTACCTGTTTGGTATGTTCTACTCGCACCTGGTAATTCAAAGGTGCGATTGACACATGGCTACTATTTGTTTAGTTAATCACTACTTTGTTACTTCACCTCCTTCTTATAATATTTTGTTTACCGACTAACACCGTAATATAAATCTACCTGTCTGTGGTATATATAAATTAATTCAACACAGGTGAATGAAAACCTTTGACAACACCCGGTAAACATGTCATGCCAGTTAATTCATTCCATATATTTGAAATTTAATTCAATATGATAAAAAATCTTAAAAGAAAGCAATTGAAATGCAGCCCTTAAATTACCCTCGGTTGCAGGTGCGCCATTTGTTATTAAAGAGTTTCACTTTTTAAATTATTTTAAAAAGTTTCATTCTTTAAAAAAATATGAAAGCTTTTCATTTTTTTTAAAATTCAAACAGCTATTTGCGTTATCGTTTATAAATGAAATGATAACTTTTTCTGAGATTATTTTGTTGCTGTTCTTGAAATAGATAACACCGAGTAAATGTCCGATTAAACAGACCTTATGGAAGATAAAGAAATGAATTGAAATGAAATGGGGTTTAACTTCCTACTGTTCTGCTCCTAAACTGGGCTTATGAAGACGGGCATACGCCATACAGTGTGCTATGAGGGAAATTTTGCCCGGGCAGCGGCACTACGGCCTACTATTATATCGAATTCCAACTGCCAAGGGATCTTTTACGTGTACGCCAATGTGTACACGGGACCTCGGTTTATTGCCCCATCCGAACAGACAGCTGTCCTTGTCAAGCCCTCCGTCCTGCATCACTGACAAGGGGAAACCACGCTGGAAAATCTGAATGAACTTTCTCGGCCAATGCAGGGATCGAACACCCGACCTCCAGGCTAGCGAGCCAGCGTCTTACCCACTTAGCCACGTGATCCCAATGGAAGATAACACTTTATATGTCGCTATCTATTTGGTTTACGGACAACATTTTATTTGGTTAAATATTCTCCCGACTATCCCGCATCAATTTTGTAACTTCAATGATTTTCTGTACCGCTTGCTCCACCCTCTGATCCCCGATCCACACGTTTGTCTTAGACAAAAACGGTGTTCATGTCAGAAAGGGTAGTTTTGGGGGAACCTTTTGGTACCTTGCTGGCTGTAAGTAATATATATAAATCTATACGTGCATCGATTTCTGATGACATGTCCGGATTTTGCAATGCGATAAACAGGTAACTAAAATATCTACTTATCAACCCAAACGGCACATCGAATTCTTATCCTATAATCTTGATTTTTTAGGGTACTGTTTTGCGGTTCTTATACATTTTAACTATACCTATAATAATTTGTAATGTAGTTGGCTTTAACGAGGATGTATAATTGACTATAAATTAAAACTTCCAAATACTCAGTGATCTTCTTTCACATGCACTTCGTCGACGCGAACTCCAGGTTTTCATCACATCAATTGTAAAAGCTTATTGGTGACCGTCTTTTTGTTTTGTTGTTGAGAGAGAGAGAGAGAGAGGGGGGGGGGGTAACGTCTACACTCGACTCAAACTAGGTCATTTCGGAACTAACATATAGTTCAATTTCATTTCATTAATTCGCTTTCGCTTAGGGGTCTTTAGTAATGTGAGGAAACCGGAGGACACGAAGAAAACCCCACGAATTTTAACAAGTGAATTTTAACCAGTGAGAGAGAAATGGGGTTTAACGTCCACTCGACACAAACTAGGTCATTTCGGGACTAACATATGGTTTAATTTTATTTCAATAATTCGCTTGCGCGTAGGGGTCTTTAGCAGTGGGAGGAAACCGGAGGACCCGGAGAAAACCCACGAGGTTGGACAGGCGACCCTACTCCTTGTCACGTACAACCGGGAATTTGAAACCACGCCAGTCGACCATCCAACCCCCCTAACCAGTGAGAAAGATTGTCACAGACTTCAAACAAAACAGACAGCTGACAATGATATAGAGAAATCTTCGTGTAGTGTAGACTGTAAACCAACAAGAAATAAAAATGGAAAGAAACATTATATGATCTAATATGAATTGTATTGCCATTTCTTTAAGACATAGTTCGGAGCAAAACAGTAGGATTTCTTTAAGACGTTTAAGTTCGGTTGACTTGCTCTGAACTTTCATCTAGCCAATCAAGAGATGCTTTGTCTTACGTTAAAATGATTTTCAACCAATCACAATGGTTTGTCTTATACTTCAAACAAAACAGGTAACTGATAAGGAGGAAGATAGATATCCATGTAATGTACACCGCAAACCAACAAAAAATAATTAATAAATCCGGACACGGACATTGTGATCTAATTTTAGTTGAATTGCCCAATACACGGTAGAATCCTAATTATAACCTATGATAAATCTGGTTAGAAATTAATATTTAATCATCTATAAAGCCCTGTAATAATCCACAAACAGGTGCGCTTTGAGTGATCTCGTTACCTATGATTAATAAATGATAAACAATGGAATACAAACATATTGAGGTAATCCAAACATGACGTTACACGTCTTATATATAATCAGATATCTCCGTATAGTGTTATGTAGATATAATTGATAATATATAGCTATAAATCAATGGCAGTAGGGGTATGTATTTTTTTTTGTAAATCAATTACTCATACAGAGAGGTATGTTTTTGGTTCTCAGACTATAAGGTCTGGGGTGAAGGATGGAAGCAGTTACACATCGACGTAATGGATGTAAGTTTCATTTTATGTTAGTGCTGTGGAGGTGCAGTGAACATTTTAGGAGGGGATGTCCTCTAACCCCGGACAAAGGGAGTACGAGGGTTCTCCCCCGGGAAAGAATTTGAAAATTGGACGACGGCAAACTAGTTTTCCAGCCGAGAAAATCGTTCTCTAGCGAACTCTGAACATAGTGACAAGACAGTGGCCCACGACAGTCAGTACGATATATAGGGCAGATAGATATCAGAACATAACCAATAATATGTAATGTATAAACCATCTTCATTCTGCCATGTCCCCAAATCAATACTCCACGTGATGATCCCTGGCTGCTGTCTATTACAAACAGTAGGTATTTTAGAACTATGGTAGACACCCCCCCCCCCTTTTTTTTGGGGGGGGGGGGGTACTTTTATCTAGGATAGCAATAACCGAATTTTAATCAGGGATAGATGATTCCCCTGTATGATTCGAGCACGATTCTTTTTTATTTCTAAATCACACCTCATCAAAAGCAATCTGGTTAAAACACAGATCCTATTTCGTTTCGTTTTTATAGTTCAAAATTTCGTTTTGCTTGTCTTTGTAGGCCATCGAAAGTATAACAAAACGAAACGAAATATAGATATGTATTTTAATCAGATTACATCAAAAGAACATGTCACTTACTACATCAAAGGTTACTGGTCGTCAGGTTATTATTGTGTCATGTATGTGGTGGTCCATTATTTTTTATATTTGTATACAGCAAACGACTAGAGTATGTAATTGTATTCCAATTGTATTCCCAGTTCAATTCTAAAAGCCATTGAAACCAATTAAAGATGCATTATTCAAGAGCTAAATCTGCCTATTGCAGGTCTGTCTTTAGGCATTAAATGTTATATAAATTATTAATTAGATATTGATTAACTTACCAAGACAATAATTTACTCTCGATGCTATCGAATGTCTCTGATATTAAGTAGATTTAAATACGTTTTGCGGTTGATGATTTACCGTAAAAGTGGAGAAACGAGGCTATAGCTTCGAATATACTATTAC